AAAACGTCTTTACGACGGTCATAGGTGATCTTCGACAGTCGCAGGTTATCTTATTTAGGTCCAGCGATCAATTTCAGTCGCAGAGAGGTTTTTGAGCTTGCACAATAACTGTCTAATAATCTTTAACTGGTCGTCGCCGATGGAAGTCTTTCTAAAGTCGTAAGATCATCATGCAATTAGTAGCAACCTGTCTTACAATCACCCAAGGTTACAAATGACAACTAGCGACTTCGCTACGAATATTAGCAACCGTCGACCGATCGTCAGAGACAATTATAAGATTTCCTGTGACCAGACACAGACCACGTGATCTAACATTAGAGGAAAGGTTAAGGAAAGTCCTGAAAAGGACCAAACACGACTCTGACTCTAAGGATAATATTGAAAAGCAAGTTGTAAGCCAGCATAAAAATGCATTACCTCAGGACCTCCCTGCCCCAAATGATGCTCAGCCTATTCGGCAGGTCCAGGGGCTGGTATTTCAAGTCTCCAATATACCACCCAAGGCCAAGCATGCACTGCCGCTACTGTGATAAATGTAAATGTTTCACTGTAAAGTCTTTATATATACCTTTAATTCATTAGTCCTTTTTAGGTTTTTGTAAATCGCAAAACTGTCGTGCAGCAATCTTACGAGAGTCTTTACAAATTGCCACTTGCATCTGAAAGTCTTGACAAGTCTTTAGAAATCGTGCGATGGTCGTACGAGAAGTTGTAGGTGATCGCATGACATGTCACGGATAGTCGTAAGTAATCAACTTCAGTTGTTTAACTTTCCTGTTGTTTCAAATCATACTTAGTATTTATTTCACGATGGTTATGACTTGTTGGAAGAAAATGTTCACGGGAAGAGTCGATTTTTTTTCAGTTAATGCTAAACATATATTCGGAAGCACGATTTCCTTTCGATTTCGAAAATTATGTAAAGTCATATATTATATTGGTCTCCCCTTCGGTGATTCGCAGCATGTCATAGTAATGAATGAGAACGGGAAAAAGCTGTAAATAGATATGACATTAAAATTGAGAAAGTCCGAAAATCTATTTATAGATTGAAGTAGTGTAATTAACAGCTATGGTAATTAAACGAACTGGAGAGTTTTGCAGAATGAAATGCAAACATATACAATCATAAATTTCACCCTTTATAATGTATCGAAAAACATAAAGTAAATTAATAGCTCCCCTGATTATTTAAATCGATCCTGGTGTCCTGAATGTTTGCTATTAGAAGTTGATTCCATTTTGTTTGAAGGCAATCGGTTTTATGGTGGGTTGAGTGGAATGTGGATTTGCCGAAAACTGCGACATGTATTCTAACAGCAGAAACTTTCGTCGAGGTGATATGGGTTTATTGATAGAAATGTAAACACACTGATGGGTCAAACGAGGATTTTGAAGCAATTCAACAAAATAGTAGATTCATCTCCCAATAAATCAATTAACAGTAGCTCTTTATTTATAACCTATATCAAGTACCTTTCATATCTTTGACTCGCATGAACATGATGTGAGTGAATTTCCTCATACCCTATGATACCTGTCTTATATACAAATAACAGTCTTCCATTGGTAAATGCCATGCAAATATATTAATACTTTTAAATGTACCATTATATTTGTAACCACGTTTAACAAAAAATCCTGAATTTGGTCTTTTAGAAAATCATCCCAAAATTTTAATTCCAGTGTGTGTTCTTCTTTCAGTATTTATCTGAGACTTAAAATATATAGCTACCGTATCTTAAGTCCAAGGCATCTTAAGAAACAATTTTTCTTAATTTGATAGGAAAAATACCTGTTACATTACAATATTAGTCTCTTTTGTTGCTATTTTTATAATTCTGTTGTATATTTGTTACAATTATAATAAAAAACAGACTTTTTGCAATTTGACTACTGTTTTGTATGTTCCGAAGAAAATACATTTAGTATTTTTATTTTAAGCAAGCCGACCAAATTTCATGATGAACAATGTCTTTCGTCCACCCATTCATCTATGATATACATGTGCAATTCTGGTAAAATCCAATTAACCATTAAAAAGTTTAAAAGAATATCTGGTCATCAGATGTCTACTAGTTCATCGTCACTTGCTGCATTTCTTGCTTGGACGCCATTTGAAGCTTTGCATCAATGCCTTTCTTGTTTAACATGATATACCATTTTGTGCAAAACATGTAACGGACATTTTGAAAAATAAAGACAGTTTGGCTTATTTACATGTGGATGTTAATATTTCCTAGAATGATTAGTTGTTAATATTTGTAGAAGGTGAGTAGCATTATATGTGAAAAAGAAAATGTACATGCTTTGATATTTTTATCATCTAATATTACTGACTACAGTTGTGACGCAAACAAAACCACGTTGCACTACTATTACATTTACAAGTCTTGTTTGTATTGGAATTACTTTCCTTACCATGTAGGCATCAGTGAAAGCATTTTTTTTACAAATTATATATCTGGCCCCTCTGCCATGGACAGTACGATTAATATAATTATGCAAATTTAAATGATTAACAAAACATCCGGAATAATGTACACTAGTACACTAGTCCTTAATCTTAACAGAAAATGACTTGTGCGCAGAAATGATTTGGTAAGGTATCTGTAATGAGCGCATTTTTTGCGCTGAACTTCTCAATTGCTGCATTGCTGCAACATTTGTACTTTGTTCTAGATAACATTCTCATTTTAGAGACACCACGTGACAGAATAGAAAACAGGGTAGCAACCACCTGCCATTTAACTTTTGCATTATGGGATGTAAAGACAGATATATAAATGCACCGTTCTACCAGGTAATACGTGTATTTTGCAGTTTAAATTTCATCTTCAGTGTTATGAAAATTCACTTATCTCAAAGGAAGATATACTTAATGAGCGCACACATTTCATAGGTAAGTGATGAAAACTGATGTATTAACTTTAATGTATAATATTTCCAGTTTAATGCTTATTGTTTGTCGTGGTATTTTTTCAGTTATTTATTTTATTCTAATTTTATTTAATTTCGTTTTATTTATTTTTTAACACTCGTAATTTTGCCCAACTATATGAAAAAAGAATGTGTGTTGCAGGGTTAAGACGGAATGCGAAAGAACAATAAACAGAATATAAAACAGAAAAAACACCAAATTAATACTTTCTTATGGTTAAGAGAAATTATGATGATCGTAAGTGCAGGTCACCGGAAGTCGTATTTGGACGTTTTGTTGTGATTTTGATATCGATAGCAATAGTATAGATATATTGTGCACAAGTTAAGTAACATGAAAATTAAACTGGTTAAATATAAATTCCAAAGTTATTTCAAAAATTAGATTATACTACTTTGTTGCAAAAGATTAAATACTTTGTTCACAAATAAGAATATTAAGACTTGAGTAAAAAAATCAATAAAATTTATATATTCGTATATCATAAGCTCGTTCTGTTTTTTCCCTTCTTTAATATATCTTAATCACGACTGAAACTTACGAGAAGCCAATCGTTTTTATTTGTTGACATAGCAAGAGGCAAATACGTCTTGTTTATTAAAGATCATTTATGGGGAACGGTTCGCCAAAAATCAAAAATTATTCATGCGTCCGCCAATCTTTGGTATATGATTATATTATAAGTAATGTTTTGTTTGTTAAGTTTAAGCACATGAAGCTTTAAAAAGCAATATGCTTCAGGGAAGCTGCAACGGTTTTGATGTAAAATAATCTTTGACAAAAAAGGAAATGTTTGTAAGTAATAACTATTACGCCCGACTAACGCCAAGATGTTTTTTTTTTCTTTTTGTATTTTGAACAGCAATGAGGTGAAAATGCGTAAACACGAAGATACGCTTTAAATGAGGAACTTAGAATCTTTAGAGAACGCGGCAAAAAGATAAAGCGATAATGCAAAACAAATGCGATAATGCAACAATACGTAAATGCAATAAAATATTTTAAACAAAAAAGCCACAAAACGTAATCCAAAAGCATGTCGAAGAATAGGCTTTCAACACGACACATTGTTGCAAAATACGAGGAACCTGACAAAATCTGTTTCACTACTTAAAGTTCATATTCCAGATAGTTTAGTGCATCCAGTGACTAAATCGTGTAGATTGCTTTTTAAAAGTCTAGTTGTTCATTTACTATAGTTTATGAATCAATCTTATAAGAAAAGAAAAAAATGCAAATGTAACCATTATGCAACCGTACAGTACTAACCATACTTACCGGCGATTATAAAAAATCAGTGCGCATATAATCTGACATTTTAAAGCATTTTTATAGATTCGTTAACCTGCAAAACGTTTATAAAGGTAGCAATCACATTGGCCTGATAAATTTTAATAAACCAAATACTCACACTTATACAAGGCATATATGGCTGTTTGACAAAGGCAATTATCAACAACTTCGAGAACTTGCAGCTTCAACAAATTGGCACCAATTTAAAGACCAAAGCATAGATATATACGCACACAAAATCATAGAAGCCATAATAGATATATCAAAAATAAGTATTCCTAACAGAAACGTAACCATTAGACCAAATGACCCACCCTGGTTTCCTCCTAATTTAAAAACACCTAAATAAAAGCATTTCTTTTTCATTTTATCACGTATTTTTGTCAAATGATCATTATAACTAAATAATATACTGATATTCGTTCATGTATAAAAATGACAATTTATGCGAGACTCATTCAAGCGAGATAAGGCCAAAACAAAAAGATATTGACGTTCTAGTAACCGGACCGACCATATATTTTCGCTCCTAACCTAGATCATTTTATTTTAAAAAATGAAGTATCCTATAGAGTATATAATAAAAATATACTAATAAAAATGTTTTCCGACCTTACACCATGCCAAGTTGTGCATAGTATCTTAATTTGCCGCTTGAATTATATTCGGTACAATTTTGGCCTCTAAATGGTCAATTATTTAGTAAAAAAAGCTTTTCCGTGCTTCATATCCGAAATACCGATAGGAGATTTCAGTAATACTTCAAAGGATTGTTTGTCACCATGCTTAGTTGTACATAGTATCTTTGTTTTTGGCACAGTTATGGCCCCTTAATGGTCAATTTTCGAGTAAAATAAGCATGTCTGCGCTTCATGACCAAAATCGCTTGGAATATTTTAATGAAACTTCACAGGATTGTTTGCAACTAAGGTTAGTTGTGCATACTCTCATGATAGTCTGCTTGATTCTTTTGCACAGTAATGCCATCTTGATTGTCTTTTTTTAAATACAATTAGCTTGCCCACGCTACATCTCCAAAATAGCTGGGGCATTTCAGTGAAACTTCACAGGATTATTTGTCAACATGCTTAGTTGTACATGGTATCTGGATTTTCCGCTTAATTTTTTGTTGTGAAGTTATAGCCCTTTAACGGTTAATTTTCAAGTAAAATAATATTGTCGACGCTACATCTCGAAATCCGCTGAAGGGATATTAATGAAATTTTACAGAAATTTTACAGGATTGTTTTAAAATTGTAACCAAACTTAGTTAGGCATAGTCTGTATTGACTTATAAACTTGTCCGCCTTAATGGTCAGTTTAAAAGTAAAATAGGCTTGTGCATGCTTCATCTCCAATAACTGGGGAATGGGGAAAATTTCAGAGAAAGTTCACAATATTTGTTTGTTGCCATGATGTACATAGTATCTTGGTTTTTTACTTGATTTCTTTCGGGCACAGTTATAAACCTTGGATGGTCATATTTCGGGTGAAGTTGGCTAAGCTTGAACGCGCTTCATCTCCAACGCCCCTCGGGCACATTTCAGTGATACTGCACAGGGTTGTTTCTCACCAAGCCTGGTTTGCATAGTTGATTGTGAGTAAATTAACTTTGTCCATCCTTTATCTCCAAAACCACTTGGGAATTTTCAGTGAACATTTATAAAATTGTTTGCATGGTGTCATGATTTTCCAAACCTAGTTGTGCCTTGTGCCATAATTTTGTAAATTATATTTTCGCACAGTTATGGGTCCTTGATGATGAATATTTTTAGTACTATTTGTTAAGACTATTTCTCCTACACTTCTAATGGAATTTCAATGAAATTATAAGAATGATATTTATCATATATTACCGAGATTTTGGCAAATAGTGCGGATTTCATGTCAAAGTTTCCTTTCGGGGGCACAGATCACTCTTCTAGTGTCAACGCTATGAAGTTTGATCCATAAATCCAGTCTCTGATGCAGAAATGATTTGTTATATCGGTCAACCAAGATTGTGAAGTCGTGCTTGCCTTTGATCTATTATATTGTTACTTATCAAAGACAATACATCAATTTCGAGCAATCGTGCCCCTATTGTAATTTATTGTTTTTTATAGTCATAGAAGATAAAATTCCTTCCTGTGCGGGCAGGATTGTTTGATACTTGAGAAAGACTATGCTAAACAAATTTTCTCATTTACGGACTTGATGAAACGAATCTGCGATGCTCACTAGTTATTTTTAAATGCTCTTGAGGGAAATTTCAGTAAATTGCTCTTACTTCTGTTAACATCATATGACTGAGGCCAGAGCTGACTTCAAATTAAAACTTAAGTGTTTCTAAGTCTAATGACTTTATTATTTATGTGTTTGATGCTATTGAATCCCCATAGCTGATATTTTATGTTAAAATCTAGTTTGTTTTTCATTGAAATGAATCTTATTTACTTTCCCGTGTCGCAAATATTGCAAAATCGGTTTCCATTGGTTGTTTGATGCTCCAATGTTTTTAATAGAAAAGCTTGTTATTTAAGGTTAACATCTTTAAGCTTTATTCATACGTAATTTTTCCTCATTCAGAAATAACGTAATTGCCAATTACTTCATCCGCATCATAGAAACAAATAAATGAAAAATATGTTTGTGATGCTTAAACTTTCAAGTCCATTTAAAATCCAGATCATGTATTCTGTTTATTTTTTTAAATTGTTTAATTACATGTATTTGTTTAAGTCAGTTTCATAAGTCGATTCAAGAATCAACATATGAAAAGAACTGGAATCATGCACTGTAATAGCCTTTGATAAAGCAAAAGGTCCGTTTAGAAACTTGTATTATGTACTTCAAGACATTTTAAATCACTTGTTTTATGCTGAGTAATATACATTGTGTCAAACACACTTTTTTATATTGAAATTAGGCATTTTTTCAAGCAAGTGACATGTGTAAACAATTTTTTTTCCCCATATTATTATGTTTCACTTACATTTGTATATTTTAAAATATTTTTTTAAACTATTGAGGAATAAAATTCGATAAAAATTGTTATGTCTACGTGCCAATTAATGGGTACATGTGATGTTCGAATTTGTTATTTGTCATAAACTGTAATTATTCCTATACACCACCATTCCCATTCCCTATTGTCTCTGTCAATATTTAATTCATTGCACTTTTTCGTGTTTTTCTTGAGTTTCCTAAGAATTGAATAATTTAATTGTTTACAATAAAAGCGCCTCGTCCTTGTTTTGCTCTTGTCCCCTGTTCTGTTTTTGTTTGGCACCTTTTTGGTTCTGTGGCGTTGGTTTTGGTTTTCCCTTCCCCGAATCTCGTACCCCTTTCCCCATGCCCGTTTACTTTGTGAAGTTATTATTCAATCAATTAATTGTTTTCTTTAATTTCCTTGTCGGTTACTATTATTCCTTTTTAGGTTTCATTTAACTGATGAGCCTACCCGTTATCTGCCTTGCGCCTTGTCCCGTTTTTGTTTGGGGTTCTCCTGGGTTCCTTGTCGCTGGTTCTTGTTGCTGGGGAACATATTTTTCTGTAAGCTAAGAAAAAAACAATGTTTAACTAACGTATTATTTAGACTGGTTTAAAGGGAAAGACAAGGTTAGAATAAAAACTTGATTTCAGAAAAAGAATACTATAAATAATAAGTCTGCAAATTTTCTGCCGCCAAATAATAATATTAAACGAATGATAACAAAATTTAAATCGCTAAATCACCGATTTCTACAAATCAGTAAGCGCGGCCATGTTTGTGTATTGGCCGTATAAAAACAGGTGCACGTGATGTCATTTCCCCACATCTTTAGATTCATGATAAATCTAGTTGAATCGTAAGGAAATATTAATGACCAGACAATTTAATTTTCACAGGAGGTGTAGAGGAGATTTTTTATGGTTCAAAATACGTAACAATATCAAAAAAAAAAAAATAAAGAAAGAAACGTACGGCTAGCCAAAAGTTCTAGCCGTACGTGAGTCACGAACGACTAGCCAGGACGCACTGTACGTATTGTCTAGCCGTACGGCACTTTTCAAAATTATATGGAATTCGAACGTTATAAAATTGTTGATTTTCATGCTTATCATTTGTTGTTTTATTTGTATGAATTATTAAATCATTTTTGTTAATTTTAAGCACATGGATCGAATAAAAAATGATCGGAGTGGAATAAATAAATAAAAAGAACATCGAATGAAAAAAAAAAAAAAAAACCCAAAAAAACCCGGTGAAATGCAAAAATAATTATATAATTTTCAAAACAGTAGATAAATATCGAACATAAAAGCACAGTCAATCAATTAATTAGCCTTAATTAAAACCTATCCAGGGACTGACAATAGAATTTTAGAATGCCTTTCACGGAATGGACAAACTTCTATACAGTACCGTCGGTAATTGTCGCAATTATCAAGAGCCTAACAACAATCATTTTCAGTGTTTGTTGTTTTTTTTTTTCATATAAAAGGTGTCGAAAATTAAACTTAATGAAACAAAAAAGGATTATTATCAAAGTTTTGTAAACTATTTCAATTGGTGTAAATGCAAGCAAAGGCTATTTTTTTTTCTCGACATCTTGCGATGACAAAGATCGATATGTATAGCGATCAATGCGATTAATCTCTAAAAAGTTAACATCCAAAGACAATTAATGCTGTTTCTTGGTTAAAATCCTCGCTTAAAGTCATAAAATAACATATGCATTTTCGACTTCCATAAAATTTTGAAAAGTGCCGTACGGCTAGCCAATACAGCGTGTCCTTGCTAGTCGTACGTGACTCACGTACGGCTAAAACTTTTGGCTAGCCGTACGGGCCCGTACGCTAGCCACTTCCACTATAAAAACCCTACTAAAACGTGTTTTTAATAGTACATATAATTAAATTTTTGCAGTTTGATTCTGACTTTCAAATTTAAAGGTGTGAACATATGTTATAATTGATGTACACATTTCAAAAATATAAGCAACTCTTTTGAAAAGTAAATTGTTAACATGTCTGTCAACGTATGATGCTGCGCATCGTAATCGTAGCCTAATATTAACTGCAGGCAAATCATTTTTATTGGCTGCTCAAAAGTCTAATTTGCATAATTTATTCACACAATTGCTGGTTCTTACTACTTATGTCTAATACTGCGCATTGTCCATTTTAATTGTTCCTAATTTGCACCAAATGCTCCTGTCACACTGTGTACTGACGATTTTTATTGCTCCTTGTATGCCTCTGTGCCGACAGACCTTTTGATCATGCACAATGTTGCCCTGATTGGTTAATCACCCTTGTCAAATATTTCTAATGACGAAATAGACATCTATTTTTTTACGCTTCATCAGTGAACTGAATGACCTTAGGGGGAATTAGGTTCCACACCTGTCAAATTATACTGTAGTAAATTACAGCACGTCATAAAGTAGCAACACATTTTTTTCAGTTACCAATAATCATTTTAAATATTAAATAGATTTATGATTTTTTTGTTTTATTGGATTAAATTTACGGTAGTAGAAATGCGTATCTGTCGGGGAAAGGAATTTGGTAAGTAGATATATATTGGATTTAGTTGATATTTTACCTGAAAAAAAGATACATGACCGGCGATGTACCCTATTTGGACAGCTTGTCTGCCGAAAATTAAGTACAAAATAAAAGGATATATCGTCAATTTGAAGAAGTTTCTCATAGTACCCAAATTAAATTTATGGTTTATCTTTGAAAATTAAGCAGTCATTGCTTAAATCATGTGGTGGGATCATCAGCAAGCTTGAATATCGGAGAAATAATAATTAATGTCGCGGCGTCTTCAATTAATTAATTAAAGCAATTCAGTTCCATATGATGTTTTCATAAATAATATATAATGTACGCAATAGAATTAATAAGTTCTTCATCAAGATATATTTCAGTTGTACCAGCGTGTACACCTATACCGGAAGTGGGTATAACACGTCACAATCTCGGTCTCGTCTGTCTCGCGAGAATGACAGAACGCCAAAATGGCGGCGCCCATGAACTTATTTCTCAAGTAAAAAATAGTGTCTTAAAACACGAATTTCTCTCTTATAGGGTTGATGTCAATAGGAAAACTGTCATGGTTCCTCTTTTTAAATGATGAATATTTATATTAGACAGACATCAATCCATCCATTCCTATTCCTTTAATCTTATGTTTTATTTGCAAAGTCTCAACTTCATGGAGATAAATTTAACTTCTTGTTAATAGAATAACGAACAGAAATAAAGACGAATTATACCTTAATTTGAAGCTTGTGATTTAGGCGTTGATATAAAGTGCTCAAGATGAGATTTTGTTGTCACAATTTGTCCGGTGTCCATCGTCTGTCAGATCGTCCGTGCGCGTCACTTTTTTTACGCACAACTTCTTCTCGAAAATCATTTCTTAAAATTTAAGAAATTTTCCAGAATGTTCCTAGTATGAAGCTCTACTAAAATGTTTAGTTTAGTTTAGCACCTGGGTCAGAAGGGCTAAAAATAGATTTTTAAAATGAAATCTTTAAAAAATCTTTATCTCTAAAGGTGCAAGGCATAGAGCTTTTGTGTGAAGAATCATCCAATAAAACTGCACAAAAAATGTTCAAATTATAGTCTTGTGGTCAAAATAGGCCTTGCCCAAGGGTCATAAATTGTCCCATATAAATAAAGTTTAAACTTAAAACACACTCTCTGATCTTACAATGGCAAGAGGTTAGATATTTGGCATGAAACATTGTGAAGTGAACCTCTACCAAGATTGTTAAAATCATAGCCCTGGGGTCACAATTGGCCCTGACCTGGGTGATCATTGATTTTCATTATATAAATTTAGTTAAAAGTAACAAAATCCTCTGGTCTTAAGGTACAAGACTTAGAGCTTTGATATTTGGTATATGATATCATCTATATGTCCCCTTACAAAAGTACCCAAATTTTACCTCTAGTTGAAAATTGGCCCCACCACGGGGTCATTCATAGTTATTCCTTTTATGAAAATATTAAAACATTTGATGATTGGAATGTACAATAGGCATATATTGACATTTCATACTGTGTGAGATGGGCATAGTGCCAAAAGATCACTGTTATGTCTTTATACTTAGTTTCAAGGATTTTGTTTTCTATTGAAAAGGTGTGTTTTAATAATCTGACGAATATTTTTGCGAATTGGTTGCATCTATTTTGACATTGTTTGAAATCATTTTACAAAAATAGACAAAATTAACTATTGACTTTTAATCAGAAACACAAGAAAAGAATATAACATTTTCAGTCCTTTTCTAAACTATATTTTGTTGTCAAACTTAAAAATTTTTGGGAATTACAAAAGTAATAAAATGAGTACAGATTACCTTTTAACAGTCTTAATGACAGTTCAATGTTTATTAACAGAATGATAATGTGCAATATGCAAAAACGACGTCCAACGCTTGTTTAATTTCTTATTGATTTCGGGATTTAATTTTCAACTGCTTTCACATATTTCTAAATAAAATCCTAAGTCCAAAACTGGTTTAATTTTTTTCAGGATTTAATTTAGAAAAATGTGAAAGCAGTCAAAAAACTTAAAATAAAAAGGAGTAAAGGGATATCAGTTTTTATTTCCTTAAAAACTTGCATATCTTATTCTAAGACGATTAACGTATAGCTGTATATCTTCATATTTTGATATATCAGCGGTAGTGGTAAAATCCAAGTAACATACTTGAGAAATAAATAGTAACAATAATCCAATATCTTTATTTACAGAAGGTAACACAGTAAGACATATACTGATTGAATTACCTTATTTACAATGCGTCCTTCTAAATAACAAAAGCAAAAAGAAACAAATACACACATATCAATCGAAGAAAATATAACATGGAAAATAAATTATTAATTGGTAATCACAGTTTTAACATATATCTTGGCACACATACTGAACATTCATATAGTTCATTTTATAAATAACTATCATTAATACTTTCAACAGTGTTTTCAATCTGCAATTTAAATGGTTATAACAAACAAAAGTAACAGTCAAAAACTAAAACTTAAGACAGACACCCATTATTAGAAAACATTTTATAGTAAGAAATACAGATAATAATGAAAATAAATGTATGAATATAAAGAGTGTATTTGGCATAAATAATACACAAGGACTGTGCTAAAGTTGATTTTATAAGTATTTATTGAAACTACTTTTAGATATTGGCAATTGTGATTTCCTTCTAATAGACAGCGGTACGGAATTCAAGAAAAAAACTATAGCATTAAATTAGAATGTGTCATTAAAATAATTGTGGACATGGTTTGTGAGACGAAATTAAATTTCCAAGATATATTGATCTTAGATAATACTTTAAATTATTATATATGGCAAGTAAATTTCAGATACATTGAGGGGACATTTATTCAGTGCATTATATATACTTGGACACCGGTCTGAAAAATACATCTTTTCTTGATAAGTAAAACCTAATTGGTTTGCTTTGTAAAACGTCTAAATTACTACTGACACATTTTACATCATTTGACATGTATTTAACAATTGTTAATACAATTTGTAATTTTCTTAACAAATATTTCAGACTGTACTGAAACAAACAACAAATGGGTGCATCAAAAAGTAAGCCTTTGTCGCCAGAAGTCAAAGATCTCGAAGAATTGGATCCGGAAGAATTTGAAAGCTTCAAGGAAGCTTTTAACAATGGTGGATTGTCAGAATTGAAAAGAAAAGTGGATGAAGACATAGACAAGTGGAAAAATGTTCCAGTTAATATTGCTGTCACGGGAAATTCAGGGAATGGCAAGTCATCATTCATTAACAGTTTCAGAGGACTCAAAGCTTATTCCGAGGGAGCAGCTAAAGTTGGTGTGGATGAAACAACTTTTGAACCAAAGGATTACATGCATCCAATAAATAAGAACATTGTTCTTTGGGATCTCCCGGGGGTCGGCACACAGAACTTCCCGAAAAATACGTATTTACAAGCAGTTGATTTTCATAAGTATGAATATTTCCTCATCATAACAGCCACCCGTTTCACTGAGAATGATATTTGGTTAGCAAATGAAGTTCAAAACCTTGGTAAAAAATTCATTTTCATCCGTACAAAGATGAGTATCGATGTCTCAAATGATGGACATGATAACCCTGGAATTTGTAAAGATGACACAGTCAGTAAGGTACGACAAGCAATGGCAAAGCATGTTAAAGATGCAGGTTTTGAAGAAATCAGGGTTTTCCTTATCGACAACCACTTTCCGCTTGATTATGATTTTCCGGACCTCATTGAAACAATGATTAATGAAGCGCCAAAATGGAAGCAAGAGGCAATGACATTAACAATGACAAACCTCACTAAAAGTCTTATTCATCGAAAGAAAGATGTTCTACAAAAACGAATTATGAAAGTAGCAATAGTTTCAGCAATAGGTGGAGCAGTACCTTTGCCAGGAGTGGGTCTTGTTGTTGATTTATCAATCTTTATTGAAGAAATTCATTTTTACAGAAAACAACTTGGCCTTGATGACGATTCTTTGCAGGAAATTGCACGTTCACTGGATACAACTGTTGAGCATCTAAAAGTAGACTTGCAACTAAACAGTCATTTTTTGGGTGCGTCATTAAGATCGATTGCTGCCTTCGTGTCCACACTGGTTTTATCAGAGGTTGCCGAAACGGTATCCGCAATTGCTATTCCTATTCTTGGAAGCTTTGTTGGTGCAAACATATCATACGGCAGCACTGTTGCTGTTTTAAGGTCCATATTAGATGCATTAGTGTCGGATGCATTAGCTATTAACAAACGATTGATGCAACAGCTGTCGGAACAAAGTTTTTCGTAAATAAAACTTGGGAGGGAGTGGTATCAACTATAATAATAAATTATATAAATATATTATTGTATTTAATTACATTACATAACATAATATTATAATTGGGGCGTCCGTGGCCGAGTGGTTAAGGTCGTTGACTTGACCGCTGTGGGTTCGAATCCCGACAGGGACTTGGATTCCTTCATGTGAGGAAGCTATTCAGCTAGCTAACAAAACGTCGGTGGTTCTACTCAGGTACCCGTTAGATATTATATTATATTATTATATATGCTAAGGAGCTGTTACAAACATTGTTTTAAATAATCATTTTAATTGTGTCGTTAACTGCTTCGCAATATTTGTTTCATGTTAGAAATTGGAACTGTTACTCCCTTTGATATTTTATGGGACAGATGTTTTTTTTGAAGATATACATGTACTTATGAGAAATCATTATCAACTTGCTGCCCGACGGCGTCACGGGTCAATATGAATTATCCTAGCACAATTTTCAAATAAAAAACAATTGAAATTTCCTTTTACTTTTCAACCAAATGATTTTTATAATTTGGTCGAATTTAGGTGAATTTCAGACGAAATTTTGAAAATATTTCCACAAAATATTAATGTATCTTTTTGTTAAAATGGAGACTAAATTCAAATGGCCGCCATTTTTTTAATTTAGATTTTGACTAAATCTGTGTTGTTTTGTAAACAAAAACAAGGAATGATATCGTTAAATATTTACACAGTTATGTGTATAGTGGATAAAAAAACTCGTTGTTGTTTAATACTGATTAAATATGATGCTAAAATTACTACGAAAATGAACTAAATTCAGGTCTTATATGACTCAAATTGTGTTAAATCTATTAAAATTAGGATAGGTTGGATAGTCATTGCAAGAAGCAAAGATATGTTAAATAGTCAAGAAAATATGTTTTAGTTAACCAACGACGTGCTGGCGATTACAGAAATCAATAATGGCTACAAGACTGGCAGCATATATGAAAAATCGAAAAATTTAATATGTCTGATGTTAGTAAAGGGTATACAAACTGGTTTGCAAAAGTACGCAGTCTTGTTTTTAGTAGAGCTTCTAGCAAATTTTACTTGCGCAGTACATGTACTTGAAATTTTTCTAAATTATTCTACGACGTAAGATCTGGCAGCCACCAATAGGCTTTTTAGATAGGTAGCCTTCAATAAAAATAATTACTTACCTAAAGATTTTGTCAAAGAAATCTTCGTAACAGATTATTTGATTGGTTGGACGAACATGTCTTTCTCGATAATCACAATCGGCCGGTAATCGAACCAATGTTGGTAACGGTCATATCTAGAAGATCTGAAATGTAGTCTGACTGATCACTTTTTATTGCAAGTGAAACACAATCATTAGCTATGGATAGTAGAAGTATGTCTTCATGTTTATCGAAATATTCAAAGTATTGGGGATAAATTGCAGGAACGTTTTGTTTCACTGATAAACACTTAATAAATAAGTGATAAAAACAGAAAATTAATGAAGGTAAAAAGGTATTATTTGTTTGGGGCAATATTTTGGCCTGACCCGCTTTTGCAAAGGATCAGCATTAAGGGACATCCAATTATGATTTTCATTTAGAAGGTCAACAACTTGAAATGCCGCAGCTTTAGAATATGAATGGGAAGGACTGAATCTGCGAATTAATCAGATACTCTAGATAAAACCTGATAAAACCTTGTTTTTATCAATACACAGAAAATATGTACTATACTGGTGTCAATGAGCTGTAATCTGTACGTACAATAATTGTATCTAGTAAGGTCTTTGTGCAATTTTTCATACTGTAACAAATGGGGTATAAGATGCACAAATACATCGGTATCAGGACTGAAAACAACAGTTTACTGTACAGCTAGTGAAGCAGGATAATCACCATGTAGGATTATCCTGCTATGATTGGCCTATATAGGGCAAACATCGCGAATTGTAAATCATTACTAAGTCAAGGGCAAACACTCAACAAAAACTGAATAAAACCACAAGAAAAGCCTAGGTACCTAACTACACATGCAGAACAACATTCCTGTAAACTTTCAGGAATCCAGGTCAAATACTATTTGAAAATTGCAAATTTATACTAGGTCGAGGACAAGAACTCCAATAAGACTGAATTAATCACACGCAACACGCAAAATACACAGCTTGACATGTTGATCAACATTCATGTAAAGTTTGTTGCTTCTAGTTCAAACACGTTTAACGGTACACATAACACAAAGTTTTGAAATGGGGTTTACCTAAGAAAATAGTAATTTCTCCACAAATTCTGAATAAATATACAAGCAAAGCCCTAGTTGCACATTTACACATGCTGAGCAACATTTCTGGAAAGTCTCATGACTCAAGGTCAAACACTTTTTAAGCTACGCACGACACAAGTTCGAAATTACATACTAAGTCAAGGGCAATGACTCTTCATCTTCTGAATAAATCCACAAGCGAACCCCTAGATGCACACTTTCACATGCTGGCCAACATTCCTGTGAAGTTTCATGACTTTAAGCTACGCACGACATAAATTAAAAAATGTCAAGTTTTAGATTGTCAAGGGCAATAACTCTGAGAAAACTGACTTAATTCACAAGCGAAACCCCGAGTGCATAACTTCACATGCTAATCAACATTTCTGTAATTTTGTTGATTCTTGCTCAAGCACTTTTAGACCGTTATGTGACACAACATGAGAACGTACGCAGGCACGCACGCACTCATGGAGGGACAAGGGCAAATCTCAATTCCCCCGGCACAAAAAAACCCAAGGCGGATATGTGATGTGGGGGTGGTTAAGAATACCCAGAGGGGGTAAGGTTGGTCTATTACAATAAAATTGAACTTTCTACTATTTGTTGTTTGTAATATGTTATGCAGTGTTTTTTGTTCATTATCTTTTTTAAAAAATCTAATTATTTTGCGACTTTGTACCTTTCATTAAAAAGTATGTTTTCTAGATTGTGTAAGTAAACGTTAGTTAAAGTAATGAAATGCAACACAAACAATATACCAGGCGGCTGACAAGTATATTGTCATGAATCGGACTTAATTTTTATTTTAATTAACGCAATGAAAGTGAATTAATGACACCGAACTTAAAAGATCTCATATATAGAAGGTTCAAATTAATAGCAATGGTACCGCAGTTTTTTTGCTTTTCAATGGTTTAGCGCTTCATAACGATTTATTGCAGTTGTTATTTTTAATATTACTCAAAACTGTATTTAATAAAAAGGGACATAAATAATAAACAGAAACAATGGGCTTATGCGTTTGTGTTTTATGTTGTTTACTAAAGGAGTTTATGTATAGATATAATAAAGACATGCCTCACATTTTGAAAGGAGAAAATGCATATAGAATTGTAAAAAAAATTATACTCCCTATGCAAAAGTAAACAATACATGCAAATATTCTATCTAGTCTTAGTCCTCTCGTGTCATTTTTTTATAAATTTGTAAATTCAGTAGAAAAGAAAATGGCTATTGTTTAATCTTTTAAATTGTTTACAAGATTAATATCAAATAATATAGTATGTTACATCGGTAACGCAAAACAATACCTTTTGAGTTAGAGTAGTAATTTGTATTTCACTTCTGAATAAAATGTTACAAATACTCGATATAATATCTGAGATATATTTTATTAAGACATCATTATATATAGAAATGGCCAAGAATCTTCATTACCGATTCATATTTCAAACATGTTTTGTTAAGTCAAATGACTGACATCAATACTTCCAATGGGCTGGTTTTGTTAAGAAAAGATCAGATAATCAAAATTTAAGTGAACCTCTTTATATGATTCATTCAAATATTTAAATAATTTATTATTTTTCACAAGAGGCATTTGTTTTATTTGTCCGGTAAAAATGATGCAAAAAGGAAGCAAAACAATTTCTTTTTAGTAAGCAAAATATGGTACCATCTTATTCCCTACAAAACTTCTACAAATAACAACTAAAACACTCGATTGCAAAATGCGAGAACGCTTGTATTTAGGGATAGTATACAAGATGACATAATAGAATTGCAAATAAAGCATAAAGCAATAAATATTGTAATTGAATAATAAATTTTATCTCTTTCAAAAAAAAGGTTTTGCAAATCACGGTCGACTCGTCCAGGAAAAAAACAAAAACAAAAAACCCTTTTATTTTTTTTTTTGAATTGATTTCAGTGTTATTTAAAAGAAAATATTTTTGGAGACCTGTGCCCATTTGCCATCACAGGAAAGTGACTATCAAATATCACCGAATGTTGGGTGTCATCCTTGCAAAACATTCAAGATTTATACAAAACAATGTAAAATGTCTACACTATGTTTGCGTTAAATTTAAACAATACATTTTATTAAGGCAAAACTTGTACACTTTTAAAATTGTACTAATCACAAAATAATTTTGGCATTGAATTTGAATGTGTGTGTGTCCCTAAAAGCTGCTCGCTAGAAACTAATTTTCGAATATGAAAACCCCGATTAAAAAAGCTCGAAATCATTCGCTCGAAATCATTCGAGCGAACAATGAATATACAAAAACAGGTTTTTTTATTAAAAACGCTAGTAACGATGAGTACCAAATACTAACACGTGTACATATGATTATCTGCCATTTTTTATAAAAATGCGACATACAAACACAATGAATATATTCTTTTAAACACCGTAAAATATTATCAACGCAATGTCGCCAGGTCCACGACGTACTCTTCTAGGAAAATCTTCGAATCTTTATCAGAAGATGTGGCGTTCCTCAAATAGATCTACTCAATTCAATAAAACAGTCAAATTACATTTCTTACATTTAATTACATTTATTAATCTTCTTGATATCTTAATTCAGATGTAATATTGATATTTTATAGGTTGATTTGGAACAAAACATCAACATAATGGAAACACCTTCAAGTAAGACATCACACCCAGCTTTAGAAAACCTCAAGTCTTTGAAAACGTCAGAATTCAACATTGCTATAACGGGTAATTCTGGGGTAGGCAAATCGTCTCTCATAAACAGTTTAAGAGGTTTAAAAGCAAATAGCGAAGAAGCGGCTGCAGTTGGTGTTGATGAAACGACTACGATGCCAATGAAATATATACATCCTTATAATGAAAACATTGTTTTGTGGGATTTGCCAGGAATGGGTACACAAAGATTTCCTAAAAGTACTTATTTAAAAGACGTTGGGTTCTACAAGTTTGACTTTTTTCTTATCATTACAGCTACCAGATTCACAGAAAATGATTTGTGGTTAGCTAATGAAGTTAAACGGCTCGGGAAAAAATTCTATTTTATACGTACAAAAATGGATCTCGATGTAGAAAATGACAAATTTGACAATCCTGAAATTTGTAAAGCAGTCACTGTTAGTAAAGTACGAACAGCGATGGCAACACATGTTGCAAATGCAGGTTTTGAATTCATAAAAGTGTTTCTGATAGACAACCACTTTCCACAAGCTTATGATTTCCCTTTGCTCATCGATGCAATATTGTGTCCTTTCTTTTTTGATCATACACAATTACGCTAACTTATTGTAACACGCTTTTTCCCCGAGTTCGTTTATTGGTTTATGTAAAACGCAGATCTCAACTTTTATACAAGAACTAGAATTTAGAAACATATTCAGATTACAGTCTTCATTCTGAAACTTCTATTTATTAAATGTAAATGATAGAATGTGTACACAAGTAAAAGGATTTGTATTCTAAACAATGACCCAATGACTTAAACTGAACAAATTTTTGGAAGGAAAACAGAGGAAATGAAATATATCATACAATATTTTTAGATTTTGCATTAAAAAAAGAGGTTTGAGGGGTGTTGCACTTTTTCAATATCCCTCATGTACAGACTCAGTCAAGCCGAGCAATTTTCATGTAATTTTGTTGCGATTAATGCTGCCGAAGGATCACTTTGTTTCCAGATTTTTAGGGTTCTGAATTACTATTTTCTTTAACAATTGGACACATTATAAATTTTAGTGATTTTTCAGCTCACCTGTCACAAAGTGACAGGGTGAGCTTTTGTGATCGCTTTTCGTCCGGCGTCCGTCCGTCCGTCCGTAAACTTTTGCTTTAAATGACATCTCCTCATAAACCACTGAGCCAATTTCATCCAAACTTCACAGGAATGTTCCTTTGGTGGTCACCTTTAAAAATTGTTCAAAGAATTTAATTCCATGCAGAACTCTGGTTGCCATGGCAACCGAAAGAAAAATCTTTAAATATCTTCTTTTAAACAACCCTAAGAGCTAGAGCTTAGATATTTGGCATGAAACATCTTCTAATGAGTGTCTACCAAGTTTGTTCAAATAAAAGCCCTGGGGTCAAAATTGGCCCCGCCCCGGGGGTCATTGATTTTCCCTATATGCATATAGTAAAAACTTAAAAAATCTTCTTTTAAAGAACTGTAAGAGCTAGAGCTAAGATATTTGGCATGGAACATCTTCTAGTGAGTGTCTACCAAGTTTGTTCAAATAAAAGCCCTGGGGTCAAAATTGGCCCCGCCCCGGGGGTCATTGATTTTCCCTATATGCATATAGTAAACACTTAAAAAATCTTCTTTTAAAGAACTGTAACAGCTAGAGCTTAGATATTTGGCATGAAACATCTTCTAGTGAATGTCTACCAAGTTTGTTCAAATAAAAGCCCTGGGGTCAAAATTGGCCCCGCCCCAGGGGGTCATTGATTTTCCCTATATGCATAAAGTAAAAACTTAAAAAATCTTCTTTTAAAGAACCCAAAGAGCTAGAGCTTAGATATTTGGCATGAAACATCTTCTAGTGAATGTCTACCAAGTTTGTTCAAATAAAAGCCCTGGGGTCAAAATTGGCCCCGCCCTGGGGGGTAATTTATTTTCCCTATATGCATATAGTAAAAACTTAAAAAATCTTCTTTTAAAGAACCGTAAGAGCTAGAGCTTAGATATTTGGCATAAAACATCTTCTAGTAAATGTCTACCAAGTTTGTTCAAATAAAAGCCCTGGGGTCAAAATTGGCCCCGCCCCAGGGGGTCATTGATTTTCCCTATATGCATATAGTAAAAACTTAAAAAATCTTCTTTTAAAGAACTGTAAGAGCTAGAGCTTAGATATTTGGCATGAAACATCTTCTAGTGAATGTCTACCAAGTGTGTTCAAATAAAAGCCCTGGGGTCCAAATTGGCCCCGCCCCAGGGGGTCATTGATTTTCCTTATATGCATATAGTAAAAACTTATAAAATCTTCTTTTAAAGAACCCAAAGAGCTAGAGCTAAGATATTTAGCATGAGACATGTTCTAATGGGTGTCTACCAAGTATGTTCAAATAAAAGCCCTGGGGTCAAAACTGGCCCCGCCCCGGGGGTCATTGATTTTCCTTATATACATAGCAAAAACTTAAAAATCTTCTTTGAAAAAACCCAAATAACTAGAGTTTAGATATTAAGCATGAAACATCTTTAAGTAAATATCTACAAAGTTTGTTCAAATAAAAGCCCAGGGGTCAAAACTGGCCCTGCCCGAGGGGTGACATTGTTTTTAACTATATGTGTATAGTAAAAACTTAAAAAATCTTCTTTTAAAAAACCCAATGAGCTAGAACTTAGATGTTTTGCATGAAACATCTTCTTATTGGTGTCTACCAAGTCTGTTCAAATAAACAAATAAAAGCCCTTGGGTAAAAATTGGGCCGGGGGGGCTATATACAGGTGAGCGACCTCAGGGCCATCATGGCCCTCTTGTTTTACTATTTCAGCAACAAGTTGCAACAAGTTGCTCATTTATTTTCCCTGTTATTGTGGAAAGTGTGGTCGGGTCACCATCCACCATTTTATCTCACAATATCATACATCTATCCCAATTAAAGAACTTACAAAGTTATGATATAATATAATATATTGATTGATATGTTTATATTAAATTTTAAAATTTAAAATTTGCCTAATGGTGAATGTTACTCGTGTAGTAATTATTATGATCACAAATGGATAATCGAAACAATTTTTGATGTGAGTTATAGTCTGATTTTATTGACCTGTCAATTATGAATACATTATAGGACTCATTTAAATATTCGATCCAACTTCGGTTTGGTCCGTGTAGTTTACGAGAATTAATGTGGAGTATATTAGTCATGGATTGAAAGTCACGCCAGCTTAATGTGAAGGTTTTCGTTAATTCACAATAGGACAGTCGGTAAAGAGAATGCCTGATAATTGAGAGGTCTGTGGTTCGATCCTTACTGTTGCCATTTTTTTATTTTTGCAGTATATTTTAATGGAACAGAATTGGAGTGTGTTTTACGGCATTGAAAAGACATTTTTGATTTTTATCCGTTTAAATTTTAAACATGAATTCTTAACAAGAGCTGTCGGTAGGACAGCAACGCTCGACTATTCTTAGTGCTTGATAGTAAAAAAAATGCTTGATAGAGTTACCTCCTCCTATTTACAGGTTGGGGTCATGGTGGTGAACAAGTGTGCAAAGTTTCAAAGCCGTATGTCAATGGACTTTGAAAATATTTGAACTATTACAAAAACTTTAACTTAAATTCTAAGTCGAAAAAAGGGGCATCATTCTGTCAAAATGCTTGATAGAGTTACCTCCTCCTGTTTACAGGTTGGGGTCATGATGGTGAATAAGTGTGCAAAGTTTTAAAGCCATATGTCAATGGACTTTGAAAATATTTGAACTATTACAAAAACTTTAACGTAAATTCTAAGTCGAAAAAGGGGCATAATTCTGTCAAAATGCTTGATAGAGTTACCTCTTCCTGTTTCCAGGTTGGGGTCATGATGTTGAACAAGTGTGTAAAGTTTCAAAGCCATATGTCAATGGACTTTGAAAATATTTGAACTATTACAAAAACTTTAACGTAAATTCTAAGTCGAAAAAGGGGCATAATTCTGTCAAAATGCTTGATAGAGTTACCTCCTCCTGTTTACAGGTTGGGGTCATGATGTTGAACAAGTGTGCAAAGTTTCAAAGCCGTATGTCAATGGACTTTGAAAATATTTGAACTATTACAAAAACTTTAACTTAAATTCTAAGTCGAAAAAGGGGCATAATTCTGTCAAAATGCTTGATAGAGTTACTGTCTCCTGTTTACAGGTTGGGGTCATGATGGTGAACAAGTGTGCAAAGTTTCAAAGCCGTATGTCAATGGACTTTGAAAATATTTGAACTATTACAAAAACTTTAACGTAAATTCTAAGTCGAAAAAGGGGCATAATTCTGTCAAAATGCTTGATAGAGTTACCTCCTCCTGTTTCCAGGTTGGGGTCATGATGGTGAACAAGTGTGCAAAGTTTCAAAGCCATATATCAATGGACTTTGAAAATATTTGAACTATTACAAAAACTTTAACGTAAATTCTAAGTCGAAAAAGGGGCATAATTCTGTCAAAATGCTTGATAGAGTTACCTCCTCCTGTCTACAGGTTGGGGTCATGATGGTGAACAAGTGTGCAAAGTTTCAAAGCCATATGTCTATGGACTTTGAAAATATTTGAACTATTACAAAAACTTTAACATAAGTGGTTACGCCGACGCCGACGCCGACGCTCGGGTGACTGCAATAGCTCTACTTATTCTTATCGAATAGTCGAGCTAAAAAACATGTTACTTAAAAAGAGTATATACATAACAAAATTAAGTAAAACATAATAAAAAAAGAACAACATAAAATAATCATATATAGATTCAATAATGTTGAAAGTATTAATAAGAAAAAAACATGGACCAACGCGGCCTCGAACTTAAAACATGTGTGGCACTTAGATTATAAACTTGTGATGTACCCTATTGCGCTATAACGCTGAGTACACTTAGTTTAGAGATACAAATTAAATTTAATTCCATCGAACAGCGTACATCTCACGGAACTTACCGAACATCTACCGAAGATTAAAATAAGGTGTGCATCGACCGTGTAATCAGTATGTAATTGACAGGTTAATAAAACCAAACAATATAGATGACTTAAATATATAATATTGGCGTTTCTTATACAATGTTTGTATAGTTTCGATTATGCTCACATGCAAAAGATGTAAATGAACAGTATATGTGATTTGTGTTACTGATACAAGTACATGTGTGAATTTGATTCATGTGATCTCTCGATTGCCTAAAATATATTTTCATACGACTAGATTTTCTTATGTTTTTTCTTCTGATTGAAAACTGATAATATTGGCTATAATTTGTGACTTAAAAGTTTCCAGTCCAAGCCTTTTTTTCTATTTTACTATAATATAAAAATTACTTCGCCCGTAATAGTATCTTATATATGACAATATCTAATTCTGTATTACCAAATGATATATCTGAAGTAGTCCAATCATTAAAATTCAGACTACATTATTTGTTATATACGACTGAAGTTGCAGATAAAATTATTATTTCACTGTCATTGAACAGATGAATCAAAGCTTCTGGCTGATTTTAGCAAATGCTAGAATCCCCATAAGTAAGCTTCATTTTTTCAGCAAGTGATTTGTTCGTTAATCCTAAATTAAAACATTTCATTTTTGGGTCTTTAATGAATTTATAACTTTATAATTTATTTTTTTGCTGGGTTCACACAGTTACAGTTATATGACGAGTTTTCAGTTTAAACTGGGGGAGGAAGACCTCAGAGGTGTCCCTCCGCACAAACAAGCTCTTGAGTAGAACCACCGATGTTCCGTAAGCTAGCCGGAAAGCTCCTTCACATGAAAGAACACAAAGACACTGGTGTGATTCCAACTTCCTAATTTCTTCATTCAAACAAAAACATTCAAATGTTTAAAAAGAGAAAAAGAATGTAACATGATACAATTTTATTATATATTGCACAGCTCTCTTTATGTTTATACATACAATAGACAGTTGTATACATAGCAGCACAAAGGCACAATCAAAAAGGGACTTTCGTCAATGTTAAACAAATACATGTATACACACTTACAAAAATTATCAAATCATTACAATAGAAATCGATAAAAGAGCCTACTATTTGGCGTGTCATGAAACATATATAATTATAACCTTGAACAGATGATATATAAACATGAAACTCTTTTTTCACATACAAGTATTTTAAGGAAATTGCAAACATAAAAACATGCACAGGAAAACAAGACATTAGCAAACAGAATCCCAGGCCTATCCAAATGAAATATATGTTTATCGCATGACTTCCCTTGTTTTCATGTTATATAACCATGACGTATTTAATTGTTTTACACACGGGTATTATGACGGAACATTTTTTCTATGTTAAGCCTCTGTTTATCAAAGAAAGTAAAGTTGTAAATGGGTTGTTAGTGTTAAATTAAGTCATGTGATAAAAAGAATCCGACACAAGTTGTCATTTGATATATCTTTTATGAAACTCGTCCATGAAAAAAATGTAATCAATATCGCCAGAGGTTCGCTTAATAACATTTTCCTGAACTTGCTTCATCAATATATATAACAACAACTCATGCAAGATCTTTAAGAATGCATTTCACTACAACAAAAATAGGTCATATTCAGACTACATATGGGAGTTTCCTTTGAAACAAATAATACAAAACGCTACAACATTGCATGAACATATACAATATGTGTGCCAGCACACATTCAATTGTTTAAAACATTTAGATTGTGTAAATAGATTTCTTAAAACTCATAAAATAAAATTTATCTTCATTGTATACATACTACTTATATAAATGTGAAAAATAATTTTTACTTCAAATGGTTAACATATAAAACGTTCACATAAAGCAATGAAGTGTTTATAAATCTGAAAATCAAATTTAAAATGATACAAAAAATGTTTGATGCCAATACAATTCAACAAATTTATAATCACATCACATGTTGCATTTATCCATACACATGTTAACTGCTTACAAGAATCCTTTGTAGTTCAATTCAAGTTTAAATGACTTTTAGATAAAAATTTAAGATTTTATTGGTTGTTTTAGAATTAAATTAAAGAAAAACCCTTTGTTTTCATAAAATGTTAGGCGAAAGTTACTTGTCCCTGTCACCAGTATAGAACTTGGGCGGCTCGAACAGTTCACTTTATCTGTTGCTATCAAACTTCATTTATATAAACAATAAACAGTATCATACAGGAATATGTTATACAAATAAAGTATGGTAAAATGTCATATACTTAAAAAATGAAGCAATTAAAAGTAAACTGATAATAAAATATAAGTGTGTTTTTTAATAATAAATTGCATAAAACATTTTTGTTAAAATTTAAATATCATAATGGTAAATTAATTTCAATTTCACACAAAAACATTAAACCTGACCGACTCTTATGTATAAATGTATATATTTAAATTTAGCCCACACAGCAAAAAATACTCTTTATACTCATTCTTTACAATTTCCAACCTCAATGAATAAATGATTTTTATATAGTTTAAACCTACAAATACGGAAGTTTATACCCTTATCCTTTAAGTTAAATTAAATGTCTATAATAACAAGAATTTGTAACAGAGTTACCAACGTCCCCCGCCTCGGGGAAGTTTTATATGAAGCATAAAATTGTGCTATTTCAAAAGATTGAGGTATGGATGTCAGGACTTTCACTCCAAAATTATAATAAATGCTATATCTGCAAATGCAACAATGAATTTATTAAAGAAATACTAGTAAAATGTAACACGGAATGTAAAATTCTATCATGTTAACCTTTTACCTCTAATGGTGACCTTGACATTGGAGGTAGGGGTGCAGGTGTTGTGCATGACATATCATCTAATTAATATTACTATTTGTGTCAAGTATTTTCAACATCCCTTGAACTATGTAGAAGTTATAGATCGGACACAAAATATACCCTATAACATACTATGTCAATCTTTGACCTCTGTGACCTTGGAGGTAGGGACCCATGTTTTGCGCCTGAAATATCATCTTATTCATTGTTGATTATTTGTGCAAAGTATTTTTAAAATTCCAGGTTATGGACTGGACACAAAAATATACCCTATTACAGAGTATGTAAATGTTTGACCTCTATGTGTGACCTTGGAGGTAGGGACACATGTGTTATGCATGACATATCATCTTATCATTGTGACTATTTGTGGCAAGTATTTTTCAAAATCCCTTGATCTATTGAAGAAGTTATAAGACGGGACACAAAATAAACCACATATAACAGACTCTGTTAACTTTTGACCTCTAGTGTGATATTGACCTTGGAGGTAGGGGTGCAGGTGTTGTACCTGACATATTGTTCTTATTATTGTGACTATTTGTGCCTAGTTATTTCAAAATCCTGAAGAAGTACAAAATATACCCTAAAACAGAATACGTTATCTTTTTGACCTCTAAGTGTGACCTTGAACTTGGGAGGTAGGGATGCAGATGTTGCGCATGACACATTGTCTTATTATAGTGACTATTTGTGGCAAGTATTTACAAATACTTTGATCTATAAAAAAAGTTATGGACTGGACACCAAAATATATACCCTGTAATAGACTATGTTAATCTTTGACCTCCAAGTGTGACCTTCACCTTTGGAGGTAGATGACCGGTTGTTGCACATTACACATCGTCTCATTATAGTGAACAATTGTGGCAAGTATTTTACAAAATACCTTCAAGGATAAGAAAGTTATGGACCAGACACAACGTATACCATCAAATAGACAATGTTGACCTTGAATAGTCAAGTGCGACCTTGACCCTGGAGGTAGGGGTCTGGTTGTTGGCATGACACATCGACTTATTATAAACCCCCAAAAATTTTGAAATTATTTCAGTTTCCCTTTTTTATAAATGAAAAATTTTAGGGGCCCGGACCCCAAAATATCCCCGTAATAGCTATGAAAATTTTGACCCCCAAGGGGACCTTGCCCTTGGGGGTGGGTGACCGGTTTTTTGCGCATGACACATCATCTCATTTTGTAAAACAATTGGGGCAAGTATTTCCCAAAAACCCCTTCAAGAAAAGAAATTTATGGCCCGGCACGAAAATATCCCATAAAATAGAAAGGGTTGCCCTTGAATGAGCAAGGGGTTGCCCTTAAACCTTTGGAGTTAGGGTCGGGTTTTTGCAATCCCAAATGTTTTTATTATAAAAAAGACTTTGTCCCAAATTTTTTTTCCCAGTTTCCTTCAATAAATGCCCAATTTTAGGGAAACCGGGACACGAAAGGTGACGGACGGACAGACGGACGGACGGACAGACAGACGGACAGACGGACGGAGCCTATTACTATATCCCCCTTTTTTCTTCGAAAAGGCGGGGGACAATTACTAATTCATAATTTTGATATCTATATTAGCATTCAGACCTTGCATTGCTTAATTCTAAATGAGCATATTATACATTTTCGTTATCACGTGAAAAGCGCATCACTAGAAATGCAGTAAAATTTTGTTTTATAATGCTTTGTATGCACATACAATGGACGTTCAGAAATTGATTCAAAAGTGGCGGAATAAACGAGTCGTGTTCGTGTTATTGTCAGATAGAAGTTTGTGATATTTTCATTTGTTATTGTGTTAGCTAGCATGTTTTTGTTTTTCGCATAAACATCAACGTAAACGACCTTGTTTTGATAGTCCCCTTTGCAACGTTAAATTTCATTTAAATTTTTTGGGAATAAGGTGATAAAGATGTCAAATTTTCAATGGTTAAAAGGCACCCTTTTATTTTTTAGCCTGTTTTGTTTTTTTAACTGATAAGAAATTTTTTCAAATTTTCATGGGGAAACATATAATTAAGGGTTTATGATTTCCTTTTGTTTGGTTGCAGTTTTTGTTTTCCCTGGTAGTTTCTGGACTTTTGGCCCGGGGAGTTGGTGCTGTTTTTGGGGTGATTTTTTTAATAACTTTTTGTTGGCCCGGGAAACCTTTTTGTATGCAATCAAATTTCGAACCTTTTTTTTGATAGAAATTTGGAAATTTTAAAGTCAGGCCTTGCATTGGAGGGGTGTTTTTTTGGGGTCTGGAGGTTTCTGGTGGAGGTGACCCTTTTTTTTGTTCGCTTTCATCTTGAAAACCATCCTCATTTGGAGAATGATTGAAAGGTATTTTACTTCCTGGAACAGGCGCTCTTGTGGTTTTAGTTGAATGTGCTTTTGTATTTTCATTTTTTGTATTTTCAACAGTTCCATTTGATTGATGCGATGATTGTTTCTCTTCACAAGAACTTTTAAATGACACTGGAGATTTTGACCGTATCACTCGATGTTCATTTTTATCATCTTTCACTTGTTTATTGTGGTCAGTGTCTGTATCTGATATAGTCAATGGGGATTTCGTAAACTTTTGCCGTTGTTGTTGAACAAAGTTTGCTTTGCCTTGATAACGTGCCACATAAGAAGCGTCCTTATGCCTCACATCTTGTGAATTTCTTTGCAAACCAACAACTTTTGTTGCTGGTTTCTTATTAGCACTTGGTGATTTAGTTCCCGAATGTGACTTTGTAATAGTATCTTTTATATCTTCTGTTTCTTCTAAGTGCACTTTCTTTGGAACAGCAGGTGGAGTACTGATATTACTTACGGGTGAGCAAGAATCCACTTTCATTTCTGTAACAGACTCGTTTACTTCTTCAACTTTAGAAATATCATTTGAATGATGGTCTGCAATATCATGTTGCAAAAGATTATTTGTTTTCTCAGCTTTACTCATTTTATCTCCGGATTCTGTTGCAACAGCAACTGCGTTATTTTCATTATTTATGTCTTTCTGCTTTTTCACTTTTCTAACAGTTGCATATAGTTCTGTCAAATCTTCATCTTTGTTCTTCTCCTTTTCCTGCAGTCCCTCAGCACTGTTACTCTTTCTACTATTCCACCAATTCAGATGCTCATTTTCTCTTATACCGCTAGTATGTCCATTAGCACTATATATCTCACCAACGATCATGATTTCATCATTGTTCTCTTGGGTATGTTTACGGTGTGAAGCTACATCAATTATTGTTTCATAGTCTGAGATTATATCCTGCCTCTCACAATCTGATATGTCTACTTCATTAGTTAGGGTGTTTACACTATCACATGATTCATTGCTTTGGCAAAAATTTCTTTCAATGTCTTCGACAGTAACTACTTCTTTATGATCAACAGAATCCTTCGTAATATTTGCTTTTTCATTTTCTGTTGGTAAGAACCCTTTCTGTTCCAGCATTTTAAGCCTGTCATTCATGTCAGTTGGACATGAGTCTACCTGGGGGTTTCTTTTTGGAATTTCAACTTCTTGCTTTGGGAATTTATGAGAGCCTCCGTATGATTCAGTTTTAGCACGTTGAGCTGTAGGTCCATGAAGGAGTACCTCAATACTGTGAGAAGAGGATTTTTTATCTTTCATCATTTCTTTCACTGAAGCATAGGCAGGGTCTGACTGTATGGAATCTATACTATGTGAACTCATGTTGTGATTTTTATGTCTTGAAAGTTGCATATTGTGAAATAGAATTGCATCTCTGTCAACATTCAATGGGTGTTTCAGTTCTCTCTTAAACTCTAAAGATTCTGTTGAAATTTGCGAAGCCTCAGGTATAATTTGCCGTCTCGGTAAATGAGGCGGAGGTGGTGGCATCTTGGATGGTGCTGTGCTGAAATGTCCAAAATCCTTATTTGGAGGTAAAGTAACAGTTCTTTCTTTAACTTGACCCTTTAATTGAGTTGTAGTTGACCAGTTTTCATCAGAATCAATAGATGGAAAATATGGGTCATACTCCTGAACACGCATTGCATGAATGAGTTCTTTATCCTTCACTTCCTCTGTCAGTCGCCTCTGTAGCATTATCTCCCAGTTGGTAGTGAGATCTTCCTTGTCATTGTTAAGCTGCCTAGGCAATGGTCTTATCTTAACACCATCCTGCTCATCAACATTCTCCTCTTCATCATCAGGACTATTACTAAACACTCTATCAACTTGTTTTCTCTTTTTTCCACCTTTCAACTTCACAATATCCATAGGTACAGCTTCGTTTTGTTCCTCTAGTTCAGCTCTCTTTCTTTGTTCTTCTCTTTCAATGTCTCTCACTCTGAGTTCAGCCAATAATTTTTGCTCATTCTCAAATTGGTCCTGCAGCATTTTTCTCATCCTATTCCTTTCATCCTGTGATAACATCATTCGTATCACTAGAACACCAATATTTTCTTGTGAAAGATAACCCTGAGAAGGTCTTTAAGTTTCTTTTTCTGGCCCCAAAAAGGTCAGGGGTTTTAATTTTTTCGTTCAAAAAGTTTTTGTATGACAGTAAATTCCACAAACCTTTATTGGCAATTTAAAGATGAGTTTTTGGGCATTGGCTGAAAGGTTTTCGTGGTAAAATGGGGGTCGGGAAAATAGGGGAAAAAAATCTAGAGCCCAAATCCCTGTATTTTTTGTTCCCCTTTTCTTTTTTAAACCCGAAATTTATTACAAAAGTATTGGAAATTTTAATTATTAGTTTAAAGGGAAAATATATTATAAAAAATTGTTTTTGGTCAGGGGGTTTTCAAATTTAAAAAAACAAAAAATTCTTTTTTTGAGCAGAGTTATAAAAAGAATCTTTTTTAAATAATTTTACACAGAACCTTTTACAAAAAACAAAACTTGCAAATTTGTAAATTTGTACAAAACATAAATTATTACTCAAAAAGATACATGTAGACAAATGCAGTTTTTATTTTTTTAAATTTGTAGTTTCTTGTGGTTTTTTAAATAGATATCTCTGTTACAAAATGATGTAAATATCTTAACTTATTGTGTTACTGTGTCAAAATGTTTAAACAATTCCAACAGTTACTGTTGTAAACAAATTTCCACCAACATATGATGGATAATTTTATTTGTAACAATCTTTGTAAATTTGTTTTATTTGATCAAATAATAAAAAAGCTCACCTCAGTAACAATGCCACCTGATTTACATATTCTCTCCATCTCCTCCTTGTTGTGAGATACATTGAATAGTTTACTGAGTACCGTGGCTTCTCCACGTCTACTGATAACTACCTCCACATCACCCACATTGGCAACATTGAGAATGTACTGACCGTTTCCTGTAACAGATTTATGAAGGTGACATATTGCACCTGCTGCTCCTACCTTCTGTCCTGTTGATTTCAACTTCCTGTAATATAATTTTAAATATAAACTTACAATATCTTCATTCATAGTTATTAGGGCTGTCATTGATCAAAAGTATTATATTGTTATATTGAGAGCCATATATCGGAGATTTATCAAAATAAAATAGCTAGAACAGAGGAACACTAAGAAAAATCAAATTTTTAATTGCTGGAACCGAAAGTGATAAGACTTTGCCCACCAGTAAGTATAGAACCATGAGACCAGTCTGCACAACCACACACTCTGATCAGACTAACATCAAATTTTTGTCTTGATATCCCAAAAATTAATAATGAACAGTTCCAAAAATGGAAGCTAGACAAGACCATTGAAAAAAAGCACGGGGTTAAAGAAAAAGGTAAAAAACAACTCATATTTTATAGTTTTCCTATGATTTTCCAGTATGTATATTTGAGGTACTCGGGACTTGTTATGGATTTGTTTTCTCCCCCTGACAGAAACAAAACGAGGGGGAAAAAATTTTTGTCCCCAATCTTCCTCTCCAATCAAAGAGAAGAAAAGGCCTTCTCTCCATTGAACAGATTTTTGACTTTGGTTGTTAATAATGCTCACAGACAATCTGTAATAAAGATGTAATATAGACACATTTAATTTTCAGAACAATCACATAATAATAGCACAAATTACAGACTTGTTTGTTATAGGTATTCGAATGTATATTCTTTATACATCAGCTTATGACTAACATATAACATATCTAATAGTGCTTATTTTGAGTGTAAACAAAAATGCATTATCTACAGAGAAGCAACAAAAAAGTGATTTATATACATAGTATAGTTAAGGTTTAAAGAACACAGAAAAAGAACCAGAGATTTGTAAAATAATATAAATTTTCTTCTTCATACTGTCGGCCCTTATATAATAAAGACAGAAATGTTACTAAAAGGTAAATAATGTGGCTCTTCGAAAATGACAATTTGCATTTGCTGGTGAAATAGTTTTGTCTTTATCAAATAATCAATAAATTAATAAATTTGTAAAATCTAAGATGCCATTACTTATTTTTTGCCAGATTTTTAGGCCACTTTGCCCCGGATATCTAGATATCAAAAACCCGCATTCGCAGGGAAGGAGGGGTCTGTTTTGACCCTTTATGTCCACCAAACTTTTCTTCTTTTCCTACAAAAATAAATTTTAAAAAGTTTTATACTCGTATTCATTTTTATTTAATAAAAATCAAGAAATTTTATACTTAAAATTATCTATAAAGCAAAAAAAGACTTACTGGTTTGTTGCCTTCAAATGAATTCTTCCAACTTGTCCCCTCTCTGAAAGTAACATATCTTAATTAAATAAATCAAAGAAACAACTGCACTTTGTTGTCAAACAGCTTATAATTAAATAATCATATCTGGAACATTTATTTTAATGTAATTATATAAAGCACAATCACAAAACAGAAATATTATAATAGTCTTATAGATATTAACTAATTTTAAAAAAGTGCTAAAAAGGTCAAAAATTGATATATTTTTTATTGGGTTTTACAGCGCACCAACATAGGAAAGGTCATGGCAACTTTTCAGCTTTATAGGTTGAGACCTCAGGTGCCCCTGTGAGTTATTTCAGACATAAACAGGCACCTGAGTAGAAACACTGACGTTCTGTAAGCTATCTGTAAAGCTTTCTCACATGAAAAAATCATGTCCCTTCCGTGGCTCGAACCTACAGGAGTGGAGGCAAGTGGTCTGAAGTCAACAACCTTAACCACTCGTCGGTCAAAGACGCCCCCACAACAATATCACTCAATCAAATAAATATATTCCAAATTTAAGTCCAGAAATTTACAGATTTCAACTAGCACTAAGATAATTATTTCTATATTCAATTTCCAAACATGATTAGCTTTCCAAAAATGTTGGCTTGAAACTGTATATATATCTTTGTAGCCCCACTTTTCTGCAACTGGTTGAGCTAAAAGCTCACACATATTTAAGAAAAAGATTATTATAACATAAAAAGAAAAGATAAATTAGATAACTTATGTAAGATACATTTTCTATAAATCATACATAAGAGATAATAACTAAAAGCCTAAACAATTTGGAAAGGATTAGTCTTAAATATTGAATTATACAAAATAACTGAAAAAAAATTCAAGTAAATTACAAACATTTGATTTGGAAACCTAATTAATTATCAAGTATTTGATCATCTTCTGGTAAAGAAAATCACAATTTTCACAGATTATGTTATTTTTAATATTTGGATTTTCTCTCAGGTGACTTGACTACAATGAAATTGATTAATTACAAAAATGGTTTAAACAGACATAAATTTACTGTCTGTGTTCGTGCATGGTTTTTAGTGCTTGATTTGTTAACTAATAAAAACAATGTAATTTTATAATTTTTCATACTCAGTTTTCTTAGTAGTATGTTAATTATTAAACAAATTATTTACATTAAATCATCAGGTTAACATTCAAAAACATTACTTTTACATTTAATTTAGGTATCTACTGAATAACAACTATCACTCACACAAACATTTAAGTTATTTTAAAATGAAAACACTTAAATTAATTCAAAAAAGTGTTATGATCAATCACAAAAAGTCAATAAGAAGCTATTAGAAAAATGTTGTTTTACACATGGCATTTAAGTAATAAAAACAAAACATTTACAAAACTTAGGGGCAAATAAATTGCTTTGTCATTTTGTCTGGTAATTAATACCAGTTTGCACAAAATTATTACACTTAAGGTTATACATATAACCAGCGTTGAACCAGTGGATTCTCTTCCAGTACATAACTGTTTATCAAACATGGATTAGTACCAACTAATATCTCCAAGTAAATAAATGGATGAACAAATAGTTTTAGAAATTTCGATTTCAGTTAGATTATAAATTTACAGCTGTAACAAATCTTCTATTTAACTGGTACTCCCTAGTACAGTATGTCAACTTTTTATAGCAAAACTACACTTATAGAACTGTGTTTCTTCCACAGCACATTTTTGACACATTTTTTACACTCACTGCCATGACCCAATGAGATTCAATCAGTGTGTTTCCTGTGTCACAGGAATTTATTCTTCATAAATTAACAGTGCATCTCAAATTATGCCAATTTTAAACCCTGTCCTAGCAACTGGTATTTGTTACCTTGTCTAAGAGTAAGAAAAGTCTTAAAGTTATTCATTGGCTTTTTGTAGGCCAGTGCATAAACAACTAGAGCTATTATAGTGTGTTTTTTTTTTATCTTAACCACAATTAAAGTATCATTAAATCATGTGCATTTGAAGCATTTTCTATTTGCAAGAGACATTCTGATTAACTTTGTGCATTACTTGATGTGAAGGATGAAATAAGAGACATTTTATTACCATATGGTCTTTGAAATTCCTACATATTACATCTAATATAGCGTTGCTTTTCATTGGATAATCGTGACGTTTATATAGTTTTATATACATGGCTGCTGTCGATTTATAAAAAAATCCCGCTTTATTCCTCTAAAAATGATGCTTGCTGTATTAAAAATTCATTATAAAGATTGTTGACAGTTTATATGGCCGTATATATGTAGGTCATTTGCAATATAACCCTCGCCTAGCAGCTCGGGTTATATTTACAAATAGCCGTTCATATAGGGCCATATAACCTTTCAACAATCTTTATAACTAATAATATAACATTTTTGTTTTGTTTTTATTGCACCATTTTCAGTTGCTAAAACAGCAAAGTGCCTGTAAATAACCTTTTTACCAGAATTTTATAAAAAAAAATTTTTTTCTAAAATTTAAAAAATCAAAAAACTTTAAAAAAACCCTTTTAATATTTAAAAAATTAAGAATATATAGTTTTTTATTTATATGTAATATAATACGGGTTTACCAAAAAATTTAAGCAACTGCAGACCATCACAAGCTCTTTGGAAATTAGGGAAAAACAGATCCCCAAAAAAGTTTTTTATATACAGCAAAAATTTCAGATGCATAGTAAAAATCTGTCTACCCCTTTTAAAAAGCATCAAAAAGTCTCTGAAAATGGTCACTTATATGTATAACAATTGTTTAACTTACTGCTATAAATTATACATTACAAAACCTTAAAATACAATATAATATATATTACATATGTCTCTCAGGGTAATACAGTGCATATTAGCAACCATTGAAATGAAATACCACCCAAGACATCTCTGCCTCAGACGTTATTCCAATTCAAGGGTTGCTTATATGCACTATTGCCCAGACAGATATGTGCTATCTTTTGATTATACCGAACCAACATTTTAATGTTATTTTTCACCGCTATGAACTAGTACTTCAAGGGCCATTCATCATTGATTTTTATCAAGGGAGAGAACTAGAATATAATACTTTCTTAAGTCTATAGAGATATAATATTCGTCCCTGGGGAATATTGCAAAATATTACTGACAGGGTGATATTCATTTCCAGGATGATAGATCGAAATAACACTATGTGACATCACATAAGGCCTACATGTAAGGGAAAAAGTTTCGTGATATCTAATAAAAACTTGATTTCTTTTAAACTACAAGTCATGCTAGCACTGTGAAAGTCATATAGTGCCAAGGCACCTAAGTAAAACCTCCAATCTTCCAGAAGCAAGCTGGATGATTCCTTAAATGAAAGAATCCAAGTTCCCAATGGGATTCATACCCACAACAGTGAGTGATCTTGTGCTAGCTTCAAATTACATGAAATGGATAAATTGAAAAGTGGATCTTAGACAGACTTTTATAAACTGTCAACAAAGTCAACTGAGTGGACTACAGATAAGTCAATCAGACTGTAAAGTCCAATATCCAATAGAAAATCTTCTTTGGCAGTGTCAATTCATCTACATATAAGTAATACAAAAGTCATACAGCACTAAAAACAAAATGCAAACATTAAGCCTTCAGGTCAGAGCCAAGTCCATGCACACAGGTATTACATAACACACATATAAATCAACAACAGTTAGCATTGATACATAGATAACTGTAGCAAATATGCAGAAGCTTATTCAGGTAATAATGTCTTAAGTACAATTAGATTGCCTTAAGAAATGAGTGAATGAGACTCTCTAAACCATGAATGTGTTCATTTGAAAATATGGTAGTACTTTAAAGATCCTGTAACACATTTTTTTATGGTTTTATATAAAAAATATGATGCTCAAATTAAGATTTATCAATATTGTAAGTTCCAAAAAGCATTATTTATAAAGATATTACCGAATTTAATATTTCATGTAAATAAAGGGAGGTAATTAGAAATTTGTTTTCTATAAGTCAAATTTTCCAATAAGAAATGAATGCATATAATTAAATAATTACATTTAATTTGTACAAATATTTGCAGTACATATTTTACATATTCTTCAATGTTTGAAAATTGTTGTTTTCGCATAATTATATACATTATTTGTACATATATTACTTCATGTAAGAGTGGTATACAACCGCAATTACAAAACATACAGGATCTTTAATGTCATCAAGTAGAGAGAAGTTTATGGCTCATGAAGAAAAATGATTATATCCATAGGACCATATAATACGTTATCTTACAAACATTTTACTTCACAAAAATGCATCACAACTCTTAACCTATTGCTTTTGAGTGAAAGTAACAATGCTCTTTAAGACCCCTGAGGCAAAAAAAATGATTACCTAACACAGTTCTCAGAGGTTGTACTTAGATTTATGAAGAAAGTTGTGCACTCAATCATTACATTTTTAAACAATAATATTTTGTTCCCTGAATTGGTAATTTATCTCCTTGGCATTAGGAAAAAAAAACATCCTTTTTGGCATTCGGAACATTACCAAATTTTGGTTAATAAATGGGCCAGAAAAAAGCCCTGCATACATCCTAAAATATTACTAATAAATAATTATGATCACTTTAAAATGATTTAACACAATACATGAATCTCATCCACTCATTTCTAAATCTTACAATTATCATTCTTGGATATGATGAATTAAGCAATTAAACATGCAGCTGTAGTAACTTACTTAATTCCTTTCAGCTCAACGGAGGACACCTGCATCTCTGGGTTACCGGATATATCCAGCAGGTTTACATTTGATGCCATCAGGCTTGTCACTGATATATCCATCAACCGGTTTGAACCCACCTCCAATACCTTAAACATCAAAGTTACAAATTTCCTATGTTTACAGTCAGTATTCACTATAAAGCTTTATCAGCATGTAATGGTAAAGTTTCATTAAAAAACTGGCTTCATAAATGACTATTACCTTTTTAAAAATAATATGGATGCTTGTTAAGAATATTTAAAACAGTGCCTCTGCTTTCCAACATTAGATGTAGGAATCGATTTACAAAAATATGAATCAATAAATATAACAATGATGTCATTTAAAATAAAATAATTCTTCAGCTGATGAACTTTATGATTATTAGTTTTCTGTCTTAATTTCAAACTCAAATATTGTCACCTGAGTGCAGTATTGGGTTAACTCTAATTAAATTATATAACAGTTAACCTGTTACTGCACTAAGGTGATAATATATTCAGTGCCATAATTTTACTACAGTGATGGCTCAATTTGTACAAAATCAGAATGCATAAGCATCATTTAATTCGCCCCATGACAAAACCATGCATAGTGTGTTTGCCACCAGCATGGATCCAGACCAGCCTGCCCAGTCTGATCAGGATCCATGCTGTTCGCTATCAGTTTCTCTATTTGTTATAGGGTTTGTAAGCGAACAGCATGGGTCCTGATCAGACTGCTTGGATGCGCAGGCTGGTCTGGATCCATGCTGGTCACAAACACATTATGTTGGTTTTGTCATGGTGCGGCTCATTTCATACCTTTAGATTAGGAGAGTATCTGAAGTCAGGCAGTTCTTTCAACAAGTTGGCATTGGATCTAAGAGCCTGCAATTTGGAATGTCTTCCTACACATTTAGGCAAGTGTCTTAAGTAATTTCCAGATATATTTAACTCTTGAAGATTTTCCAACTTCCTGAGGTCTCTGAAAAAGAATGAAAACAAATTTTTAAGATTCAATATTTAGAAACATTATAATGGTAGATAAGTGTAGTATGAAATAAACTGGCAACATTTTCATCATTTGATTCATGAACCTATATCTACAAAGCATTTTAGTCTGCCCATACAAAATGCTTGTCAAAAAAAACAACAATCCTTTCTTATATATAATTATATATACATATATATTTGTCCTGAATTTCTCCATTTTGAAATGATGATTTTACATGGTATCTATTTAACATGACTGAAGTAAAATTGATTAAAAGGAAAAGCATGATACATTCCAAAATGAAACAGAATAAAGAATACTTCCAGTAAATATATCTTGAACCAGTGTAACAATAGATAAGAAAGTAGCATTATAAAATACAGGTCCTTCATTGGTCAATTCTAAATTAATGTTAATAATATTAACCAATCATATGTCGAAAATTTTAGAATCAAATTCGAGTTAAGTATTTGTTACCATTGGCCTGATAGCCTAGAGACATATATCTTAACTTATATCTTGTCAGAAAACGACAGCTAGAATTTTATAGATTTCTGTAAAGTAAAGTAAATTATACAATTTTTCAATCAATACATTATAGCTGCTCTTTTCATGAAAGTCTTGTAGGGTGAATTGTAAATTGTAATGAATTAAAATTTACATTTCACCTTACAACAAAAGCCTGGTTGAAACATTTTGTACAAAACTTTATAAAATGATAAACTAAACAAACCTATCATGTATTTCTGTAATCTGGTTGTAGCCTAGATGTAGCACCTTCAGTTTGTGTAACAATGTTATTCTATGTATAACATCATCGCCCAGCCTGTTGGCTGATAAGTACAGTTCTTGTAGCTTGTTTTGATATACATTATGGTTGGGCTCGGGAACAGTTTCTAGATGGTTATTGGTCAAACATATGTATCGAAGTCTGAAAATAATAAAGGGAAATATTACTGAATATAATAAAAACCAATTAATATTATATCATTTAACTGGGACAGACAAATCAAAGCCATGAGAAACTATGTTTTATTTATTTAAATCACAGTAAATCTTTGTTGTTAAAAGCTAAATCTCTTTTTGTATAAGTGATTTAATGTTGACATTCTTTTCTAAGTAATAACATATTAGGCTATAACTTATAACATTATTGCCTATAATCATTTAATCAGTGGGTTACACTATATTACAAATTCTGCAATATCATCAATAGGTGTAAAATTACATTACTCCTAGGTAGTCATTTTTTGCTTGCCTTCACTCAAGGACTTTGATAGTTTTACTTTTAAATAAATCTACACACGGCCTTCACACTTGAAAATGTGCACTTTCGTGTAAGCACCGTTTTTGTGTGACAATATGAATAGTTTATTTATACACAAACTTAAAGTGTATACAGCTGCTGCAAAATTTTTTGTTTGAATTTTTTAAAAAAGAATACTTCCAAAATGCTTGTATTAAATAGATACGGTAGTTACAAATTGTCTTAAAAGTGAATGGTGCATGCACAAATGGTGCACACAGGAAATTGTGGGTAAAACCATTTTCAATTTTAAAGCATGGGTTAAGTCCCTTGTTATAACAGATTTCAGCATTTTAAATGCTGAGAAAAAAAATAAAATTAAAACATAAAATATGAAACTATGTATGAGAGTTTACAGGAAAATCATGGATGACATGTAAAGAAAGTATCAAATAACTAGCTGGACAGATTCTTCACATCAAAAAATATAGTCCCAAGTGGGATTTGTTATTGTAACCATGGTCCTGAGTAACTGACAATTTTAAAGTAATGAGCCTTAAACACTCAGTCTTGGAGGCCCTAAGGATCTAGTAAGGATAATAAGATGTAGAGAGGTCAATGCAACTTACTTTGGCAAGTTCACAAAGAGTTTTTCTGGTAGGCATGACAATTGGTTGTGCTCTAAGCTCAAATCTTCTAACACTGCATGGTTGACTTCACTAGGTAGTTCTGTTAACTGGTTATGGCTTAACTTAAGTACCCGAAGTTTTGGTGTATCTACCAACATCCTACAAAAATACCAAACAATTAAATTGTATATCAAATGAGGTATCAAAACCTTTTCTTTCCTGAAACTTATAGATTAAATTTGTCCAATCATGCAGTCATAATCACTATTTTAATACTGAAACCATTTGAAAAAATAATGGTTAGTATAAATTCAGGGCAGTCTATGGCACAACCTCAGGATGGTAAAGGTCCATATTTGTTTTACACGACATAACTTTATCTTTAAAACTACCATTACTCTACAAAAAAAATGTGTACATCTATAATTGCTCAAATTTAACATAAAGGACAATGCAGTACAAAATTAGCACACTATGATATAAATGGTTGAATCTTGCAAAATATCAACTTCCAAAAGATCATTTTTGATGTAACTACTTTCTAACTTGTATCAGTTTTGTAAAATCTCATTTGTATATCTCTGCCTATCTAGGTAGTTATGCAATTTACTTTATATTTGAGTATAGCTTTTAACATTTAGATATATGAGACTCTATAATGATACAAGGATGGTGAAAGTGATGCAAAACTTGCCTCAAATGACACATCACTGAGTCATAAATCTGATATGAAAGATGGCAAAGTGTTGTCTAGCAAAGATAAAACCTGATCATAACTTGTCAGAATAAAATCGTTTTTATCACCCTAACTGAATTTTCGTAACTTAAAATTTACTTGACAAACTTGTATTTGATGCATTTATTAAGATGCATGATTAACTACTGAACAAGTTATATGACATAACTCATCAGTTATAAAAAGAAATTTAAATACAGTTATATAAAGACATCTAGTTACAGTTATCAAAAAAAAATTTGGATTGAATTATTTAAAACTGGTGTATGATGGAAGATTGACAAAATAACATTCTATGTAGTCATAATTATTTGCTCAGATCATGATAAAATTATGATGATTTTTAACTTGACAAACAATTTCAGTCATTTTTCATGAGAATTTTACATGTAGATAAGAATTAGAAACTAACACTGTTTGCTTGCCTGCAGCATCTTCAGACTACATGTACTCTGTGCAATCAGTTGAGATGCCTAACTCAACAGCCAAACAGAACTTAATTGTCAAGTACATGTAGATATAAAATGCTATTTAAAAACATACTTGTAAGGTATAACCTTTTGTAGGAAAGACAACTTACTTGTCAGGTAGTTTCTTGATAATATTATGACTAGCATTTAATTGCACCAGGAAGAAACAGTCACTGATCCAAGATGGCAGACTATCCAACTTGTTCCTGAAATATGTAAATATTGTATATATTAACAATCAGAAGGATACATAAGTTTAAACAAGTTATATTAGTTTAATTGAGATGAAGAAAGCTTTGAACTTATTTGGACCACTCTCAAGTTGACTAAGCCTGGAACTAACCAGGACTTGTGTCAAATGAGCAATAAGAGCGATCAGTAATCACATGTGTCGCTTCATGATGGCCAATTTCATGTTGGGACAATTTTTTGACAGACGGACAGACAGACGGACAGTGCACAACTAGACTTGGTACTGATCATTCCTGTAAAGTTTGGATGAAATTGCACCAGTAGTTTATGAGGAGTAGTCCTGACAAGCTTTTGTGTATCTGGCAACACACAGAAAAAAAACACATTTTTATCAAAGGGCCATAACTCGACCAAAAATCATTGAACCGGAAAATACTGACAATATGCACACTGATCATTCCTGTAAAGTTTGGATGAAATTGCACCAGTGGTTTATGAGGAGTAGTCCGGACAAGTTTTGTGACGGACGGACGGACAGACAGACGGACGGACAGACAGACGACGGAGTAGTGATCCCTATATGTCGCCACTACTCCGTAGAGGCGACACAAAAAAGGTTTGAATCTCTGAATCAGGCTGAAACCCTCAATTCCTTACATGAGAGGCCGACACCTTAACCACTAGGTCATCTCATCCTTTACACAAAAGCTACAGGCGTTCAACAAAGTTCAAAGCCAGAACAATACATGTCTTAACCTTTCAACATTTCATTAAAGTACAACTGTGCTACTTTTTTACTCCAAAAAATGAAGACATATTGAGAATTTTTTGTTGAAATATAGATAAAAAAGAAGAGTTCAAAAGAGTACAATTACTGTTTTAAAAGTTATCATTTTAAAAGTGAAAATGTCAGACTCTTAAAAAAAGAGCACATAAAAAGAAACTAAAATTAAAATATCTGTTTATTTTATTCATTAATTAACATATTTGAATTCCTTTCAGGAAATTAAAAAAAAAGAAAACTTACAAAACAATTTCATGTAATATCAATCAAAGATTGTACAACAAAATTTTTAATAGTTCAACAATTAACAAAACAAATTATATGAAAAAAACACAAACAAAAATTCATAAATCATATATGATTTCACCTTCAGACAAAGCATGTCACTGAGTTATTTACTTTGAAAAACAAGATATATCTCTCTTAATCTGCATCTTGATCTTTCAAAACAAAAGTGTTAACACGTATAGCATCAGTGACCTTGAACTAATGACCCCTAACTCTACCCAAAGTTAGAGGACCACCCCTAGACATGTATGTTTCAAATATGAAATACATCAGTCAATACATGAAAGCTGTATGAGCAAAATTGTAAATATTTAAAGCACTGATTACCCTGCCTTTGACACAAGTGACCTCTAACCTTACCCATCATAAGGCATGTAACTACCAAATATGAAAGACATCAATGAATAAGTTATATGAGCAAAATTGTAAAAATTTAAATTGAGCACTTGTGACCTTGACCAAAAGTACTCCTTTATACTAAAACATACAGAGGACCATCAAAGGTATTTACCTACCAAATAATAATATGAAAGGAATTCAGTCAATAAATTTATGAAGGCTGTATGAGCAATATAGAAGATAAATATCATTAAATGAAGTTGCAAGGTGAAACTGTTGGAATTTTTTCAGGAAACATAAAAATAAATTTTCAAACTGGCTGAGCAAAACAAAATCATATTGCAATTAAACAATACTAACATGTTTAATGTTAAAATTGCGATCAACAATTCATTTCTTTTACAATCAAGTAAGGAGAGCAAAAGTATTTTTCCTAGCTTCAAATCTTACCTTGAAACATCAAGTGTTGTCAACCATTCTGGTTTTGGACTTATAGAAAGGGATGACATCTCTGAAAAATAGTGTAAATTTCATAAAGTTGTGTTACTTCCCCTAAAAGTATAGCAAACTAATAATGAACAGGACTATTTTTTAAGTTATTGGTTAAAATTCTAAAAGTATTTAATAATGATTGTCAAATGGTGCTGCAGCCTTGGTTTGATAAAGATAAATTCATAGGTCTAATAGGAAAGGTTGTTTAAAGATTTTGACAATGAACGATATTAATAAATGTATCAAAATTTAACCCTAACAAAGAATAATAATCTTATGGCACACATTAAGGCTGCAAAACTTACCATTTTGCATGGCAAACAGAAGTTTAATGGCACCACCACTGACTTGCAAACTGTGAATCTTATTTCTTTCACAATTTAAATATTCCAGTTTGCGTAACGATCTCACATCTAAATCTGTTATCCCATTATCACGAACATCTAAATGAGTCACTAACTCTAACAAATGAAATTTTGACATCTCACTCGGCGACAATGTCAACTTATTCATTCTAAAGTCTATTTTCTTAATGTGTTGGATTTTACTGAGAACATCTTGCGACAGTTTTTCAATCCTATTTCCTGCCATTATCAGGCTGTCGATTCTAAGCAATGACTCGTGAGTTTGAAGAAGGACCGAGGGCACTGACGTGAAGTGATTGAACGCGAGGACTAGAACAAGAAGGTTACGCATTCGGCACATCTCGTCCGGTAAGTAGTTCAGATGGTTGTTGTGCAGATGAAGCATCTGTAAACTGGAAATAAAATCAATATTTTATATTCAAGTTTGTTTTCACACCGGTTATTATAAGAAACAAAACCAAACTTGAGCTGCATCAATATTTTGCCAATTTATCAGTAATTGCCAAAGTTCTTATTATGATTCAAAAATATATATATACATCAACCTTTGTACTTTATACAATTATTTTATTATCACAAAGAACTAATAACACAATAAATGAAGCTCAATGAAAATTGTTTGCTGATACCAGACCGAAAAATAAATGAAAACTCTCCATAACCATATAGCACTCTACAATCAAGATATTATGGTGATATATAAAATATAAATGTACATTTTAATAATCATGAGAGACTATGAAAGCTGGAATGGTAAACAGTTTTTAGTTGAAATTAGTCTTCTACAAAGATATGAATGAAAAGCTGTTTAATTTCGATTGTCAAAACCTTGATATTTAATAGAAACCTTACTTAAAATATTAAAATAAATGTACAATTTCTTACTTTTCAATGTCTACAATATCAGGGGGAATATCTTCTATCTTATTACTGGCCAGGTTGAGTTCTGTCAGTGTCCTCATCTTACATACAGCCATCGGAAAACATCGCAGGTCATTGTCCGCAAGATTTAAACTACGCAAACTTGTAAATCTGTAAAATATATAATGTCAAATATTATAAAAATTGTAAATCTGTAAAATATGTAATGTCAATTATTATAAAAATTGTAAATCTGTAAAATATGTAATGTCAAATATTATAAAAATTGTAAATCTGTAAAATACATAATGTCAAATATTATAAAAATTGTAAATCTGTAAAATATATAATGTCAATTCTAACACGACCCGAATTTTTCCCTATTGAACATAGAAGAACCGAAAGTGTGTGTTATTATGCAATAAAATCACTGTTTGACGTTCTATATTTAGACATGTGACGTAATCATTATACACGTGACGTAACCACTTAAAATGTGACGCGCTGACAATAAGTACGGAAACAAATCAGACGCAATTTAGCTAATTATCATTTACGGCAGCATTTATTTGTTGATGTCGTGTTAGAATCGAAATAATATATCCAAATCGATGATTTTATTGCTTGATAACATCACTGTTTGTCGTTCGGATGCGCATCATTATATCACTCGGGCTACGCCCTCGTGATATAATTCCCCGCATCCGAACTCCAAACAGTGATGTTATTGAGCAATAAAATCACAGTTTAGGATATATTATTTCTTAAATATTATAAAAATTGTAAATCTGTAAAATATGTAATGTCAATTATTATAAAAATTGTAAATCTGTAAAATATGTAATGTCAATTATTATAAAAATTGTAAATCTGTAAAATATGTAATGTCAAATATTATAAAAATTGTAAATCTGTAAAATATGTAATGTCAAATATTATAAAAATTGGAAATCTGTAAAATATGTAATGTCAATTATTATAAAACTTCCTCACAGAGTATCTACAGAAATTCTTGATTATTTGATAATTGTGTGATTCAATTCTAACCCTGCTAGGTTTGAACTGGCCCTGTTTTGAATTTTTAAGGGTCCTTTGATATTTTTAGTGGGTTTTATTATCAAAGAAGCTAAAATTGACTAGCCATTAGTAATATAAAGTGTGGTTAGATTACACATATGATCAGACAATCTGTTTCTATATAATTGGCATAATTATATAATTCATTGTCATCATTGGAAGTCAAACACTACACAATTCAACAAAGTTACAAGTTCTAGCTGATAAATAAAACTAATGCATTAACCATTCTTGCCAAGACAGAAAAATCACAAAGAAAAACATTATTTTCACCTCATTCAAAAAACAGTCATTCTTCCAGATCCTTAGATGATAATTAATTCTAAATTTGTCTGATGTATAAGTCAAAGTCAACAGCTTTCTTCAATGACATTAATCTAGGGATTAAGGACAAAATTGCAGAGAATAATGAATAATAAATCCTTGTCAAATATTTTAATTTGATTTATGTGTTACCTTGGTAAATCATCCAGCCAGCCTATTGTATAAATGTCCTCTTCTATAGGTCTCTCCTTCAACACATTATGGCGGAGATTTAATATCTCAAGTTCATCATTTATAAAGACTGTTTCTGGCAGAAACTCCAGGTGACAGTTTGATAAGTCTGCTTTGGTAGGTAACTTGGCTGTAGCCTGTAACAAACAGAATAACTTGTTAAGCTTATTTGGTCAATATTATATTTTTACTCCTTTGGACCATGGCAACATTATGTGTTAAGGTCAGAAAACATGCTGAGGAGTTATTCCAGGAAGTTGCTAAATTCAAACTGTCTAAAATAATTCCCTTAACATATACTTGTGTAATTAGTAGATTTATTTTACACCTTATAAAATATAACCAATGAACTTTCAGCATTTGAACCATGTGATGGACCAATAGAAATCATTATCGGATCAGTTCTTATCAATATAGCCTTGTATACAACATTCATATCAAAGGCATATCACACATCACATAGACTTGTTTTCATTTTTAGAGTCCAAAATATCTTTATCAAATGCATATTGTACTTCATCTAGCCACATTTTCATTTACCAAGGTGAAAAATTTAAATAAATTCCTGACTGTATTTGAAGTAACAAAGTTCGGTCAAAATGTCAAAATATGTGAAATAAAGAGATCATTAAACGTTGTTGAGAACAACCCTGATTCTATTGGACTTAAATACAGCCAGACTTGGCTAGTGCCTTGTCCATTAAAGATTTGACAGCTGTGTACTCGGCCAATAGAATTCAGTATTGAACTCAACAATGCATAATAATCTCATAGTATACAGTAAGATCTGGGGCAAAATAGTAAAGGTGTCTACGTCTTAACAGAAAGATCACTAGCTGAATAATGGGCTCTGAAGACATTGTGTTCTGTAGACCATAAGTTCCAAATATTTTCGCAAGATAGATAATTCAGTCAATGACTATAGTAGAGTTATTAGAGAAATAAAGAGGTAAAAGAGAAATTATAATTATGATCTAATATACGAAAGCAAAGTTTCAAAAAAATAATATATACTATATATCATATTTCGTGGTTAAGTAACACTAGCAAACATTTACCAAATAATTACACAACCCCATTATTCTATCAAAAGTTGAGCTAGAACATAACTTCCTTGACTACAGTCTGTTTAACTGAAACCGTCCAAATGTTCTTTATGTTTACAAATATTTTTCACAAAGAAATCGTTGCAAAAATGAAATGACATAAATAATATATCAAAGATATGACATAACATGTTAAACAGTTGTTAAGTTCAGTTAGAGCATTTCATTACATCTATACAATGAATGCCTCAAATTTCAAATAAATAGTGCATTTTTACTGCGCTTGTGAGACATTTTGAAAAATAGCTTTGTCAAGTTCAAATATTGACTATTTCTTAAAAGGAAATCTTTTACTTTTAGTATCAATAAACAAGAAGGAAAACATCATTTCCTTATTTCACATTTTAAGAATCATTGAATTGTGTAATCTATTTAATTAACGTTCTGATGAAATTTAAAGGTTAAGTCTTAATAAAAAGGAGTTATTGGTTGTGACTTACATTTCACACTTGGGCATGGCTAAGTTTTGTCTGGATAGTGTGGAGAAACAATTTATAAAGGGTAATGCCTTAGGTGTACTTTCTGTTTAAAGATACACATAGGGTATGAACTTGTTTAACTGCTTTTGTATAAAACCCCGACACTGCACTTGTTTCCAGTGATGTTTTATCATAAACATTAAAATGATATAAAATAACAGTAATGTTGCCATGGAAACTAACCTTCTTTGTTTTCCTCAGCCACTTGCTGTAGTCCTTCTCATCAGTGAAAGACAAATACACTGACCTTTCACCTTGAAGTGTTGAGGTCAACTTAAGGACATGGCCATGACCTTTGACATGCTGTACCTCCTCTACAGTGCCTTTTGCTAACTGAACAATAGTTGGGGTACCTGACTTGGTCTTGTCTGAAAACAATTAGTAATAAATATAATTGTATATAAGTAATAAGAGTTTTGTTGTCAAAACTAAAAAATAAAGACAGGAGCACAGTGTCAGTCTCTTCAAATGTTTTAACAACTAATGTTGACAGTGTTTATTTGTTTTGTTTCATATTAAGCCTTTTCCCAACAGTATTTCAGTCATATAGGCAGGCAGTTTCCTAACCATCGTTACTAGACTTACCTTCCTCCGCGCTAAACTACCAAAGCATCTCCCGGGGATCGAACCCACGCCAGAGAGGTAACTGGATTAGAAGTCATCGACTCTAACCCCTCGACCACGGAGGCAGTTTGACAGTGTTTAAATTAATCATGTTTTTGTTTTGCATGTCTCAAGATGAGCCAAAATATTTCAAGAAAATCAAACCTGAGGAAAATGTGAATAGTAAAAACATTAATATTTCAAGTAAAAATGTGCCATTAATGACTGATTTTTGCACTATTTATCACCATATTTCTAGTGCATGACTAATACAGTAAGGGCTATTTTTGCATATGTTGACATCTTTTTGGTAATTTATGTAGATTACACATGTCTTTTGCAATGTATAAAAAACTTTCTTTGTTCACTTCACAATATTTTCCTTTTAAATAAGTTTTCATGAACATTATCATGAATCTGGAGTCATGCTGCTTTAGTAAACAATATTTTTTTTTTTAAACAATATCTCTGTCAATGATTTTGGAAAGTTAAACACTTTAGAGCACTAAATGTATTCCATTGCTTTCATGGGGGAAAGGACCTAAATGATTGTTGAAATAAATTTCAGTCTACACTAAGAGACCATGGCATTCAAATTATTTACCAGAAGAAAGAGTAACTGACAGGCAGTGTGTATAACTCACCTCTGTAGATTAGAAGCCTGGTTCCCGTTATAATACAAAGTCTCCTAACCCACTGGTATATTAACTTTCCCTTCCTTACATAGGCAAATGTTGTTAACTGGTTCCGTGAGTATGTACTGTCTGATACTGGCTTCCCTAAAATTTAACAACACCTAATTTATTGCAATTCCTATATTATGAACAAAACATGTGTTGAAACTTAATAATTGTAAAGCTTAGAATCGTGACAAAAATTATGCTCGTTTCTAAGATTCTGCTTCTCAGTGATTAATAGGATTGAAATGAAATTTGATTGAAACTTGTCTATGATATTGAGACACCTATGAAACATATTCATTATTTATCCATCCTACAACATGGAACAATACACTTATAATTGCTGAGACCCTGTCTATCCCCATACTGCCTGAGGTCGGTGTAGTGGTTTTGTTTCGAAATGGCCTTTATCAAGGGTTTGGTTTAAACATAATTGCAAAACAAGTTCTTGCAACTAAATATATTAATCACTTTTGAGTCCGCTTCCAGTGGAACCAGTCAGTACTGGTGTCATATGAAGAAACATCGTTATGACCCAATTAGGGCTCGAACCCTAGATCTCAAGGCCACCAGAGCTTTGAAAATCCAGAAGATGTTGAAGTAGGGAATGGTGCATTGCATGATGTATAGGGAACTTATAAATATCACACACATTAAAGTGTAATTATTATGCCATATTGCTGCATGTTTACATCAATGTAATATACATTGTATAACCAAATTTGAAATAATTCAACCATGAAGTGCATCATATTTAATATATGTCTTTATTGATGTTACTGCAGACAGGACAAAAAAGTTAATGTAATTGAGTAAACCTGGCTAGTGTTGCTGACTAACTTATCTTATATTATTTTAAATATCGGTTCTAATTTGACTTGCAAAAAAAACATTGAGTGTGTGGCCTTCAAAACTAATGGATAGCTATTTACATGTATACATGTATATATTTCTATGACCAGAAACAATTTTTTTTTTATTTCTCAAAAGCTTTTTCTTAATGGTGGACTATTATATTAATTTCCAAAATATTACTCATTCAGGCCAATCACCTGATCCATCTTTAAAAATGCTTGGCAACAATTACAGTGACTTAGTACTTTGTATAGAAGTCAAACTACTACTTTGTTTACAGTTTGCTTCTTTACGTTAATGACAAATAGTTTCACATTTAGCTGTATTTTTCTCAGGTAACAAGCAACTTACATGCTCTAAAACCATTATTCAAACATTACCAATCTCATGGTTTTGAAAGGAGACAAAACGTGCCTTTAAATATATCAAAGTTGTTTATTTAAAATGCATTTCAACATGTAACACAAAGAACCATTTTTTTTAAATCTAAACAAAGGATATAACATGGTTTCGGTTGACCTGTATTGTAAACCCAATAATATTAAAATGTTACCTTGGTAACAAGCAGGTTACAATGAAGTTGGGCAATACAAGATGAGTTAGTAACATTGTATATAATTTAAAACAGAGTATAAAATACACCTTTCAACCTTTTAAAAAATGTTGTTTTTAATTACAAATTTAATACAGTAAAAACCCTCAATTAAGACCACCATCGGGACTGGACCAAAGTGGTCTTAATTGTGGGGTGGTCTTAATTGTGGATATTCTTATCATTGCTTACACACGATATGATATGGCCTATTTTAGTCATTTTGTATGAACAAACAATATGTATCATAACCTGCAAATACAATATAAAAGTATATATTTTATAATGTTACATCTGATGGGAAGAAAACATATTTCTGAAGAAATTTAATATCAAATTTTCTTTTGTTCTGATTTCAATAATAATTATTGTATGAGGTACATAATTCACATATCATATCAGACTTTATTTCTTCACAAAACAAATTTGCATAAAGCAACATTAAACCACTCTGAAATTAACTTTCTCACCTTTTTTCATTAAATATCCCATAAATAACAGTTTTTTACACCTTGTGTAATCAAGCAGAATATAACAACATAACAACACATTTAAGATCTAGGAAGGTGTTGATTTTAATATCAGTGGTCTCAATAGTGAGGTCAAATAAAGAACAAAATAATGAACACTGAATTTGGTGGTCTTAAATGTGGATAAGTGAGGTGGTCTTAATTCTGGATCATGTAACCATTGACATAAAGAACAGAAAATTCCGTTCTTTTAAAAACTGGTCTTAAAAGCGGGGTGGTCTTAAATCCGAGGTGGTCTTTAGTAGGGATTCTACTGTACATGATTTTATTTGATAACCTGTCAGAATGGGGGTGGGGTGTATATGACAGTGTTTTGAATTACCCAGTTATCAGTGAACCAATCTGGCTATGGAATGCAACAAACCACAACAAGACACAAAACAATTTCACAAGTTTGTAACTTAGGTAGATTTTTATCTGGTAATAAGTTTTGAATTATAGATCCTAGATGTATCAGGTTTTAAAGACATAAACTACCCAACAGCTAAACACTGATTAAATCAAAATACTACAGAATGCATTTTCCTAGTCAATGTATGAACAGTCTGATTTTTTTTCAACATACTATATCTTTATGATATATTAATAATTAAGTAAGTCAAAAACCATGATAAAATTAATGGAATATTTGAAACATGTTTACATGCCAGAGTATAATAATCATATTTCATAATGTTGCTGATCCTGTTAAAAATCTGGAAAAAAGGGTGATATCCCTCGGAAGCATCAACCACAACAAAATAACATAAAAAGCACAAAATAACACAAAAATATGAATTTCAATTTATTTCTGATTTATTTCTTAATTATTTTTGCTTATCTTTCTGTTGACCCTGGTGTACGAAATTCAAATTTCATTGTTTTAAAGCTTTAGGACCTCAGTGGAGTTCCTTTAAATTACAGCCAAGCAATTTAATCATTGGCCCCTTTCTGAAACTGACGAGTATTATAAGGGTATTGATGTCTGCATGTGTTACAAAATACAAAGACATTGATGTGATGCAGATAGATCATTACAGTGACAGACAGGAGTGTTCATCAAAAGTGTAGGTGTATAATGTTATGCACTTGAGGTAACTGTTGCGCATATAATGTCTTATATGACAGGAAATTTAAATAAGTTTGAAGGAAAGGAAAAATAGCTATTAAGTTACAGGATCAGTACTGAATAACTTTTCAAGTAAATTCAGTAATTTTGTAGACAAAATGGTCCTTTTAACAGGCAGCACTGTTTTTCGTGTTTACATGTTTGGAGGTGTTGGTGTTGGTAGTTTTCACTACAGATGATCATGACCGCAGTAAGCCACATTGAATTTACCAGAGCACAGTTCAGCCATCGCATCATTCCTGGGCAGGCTGTCAAGCAGTTTACCAGTACTAGTTGCCTTCACTTGCGCAAGGAACTGAAACTTCTGTACATACCAGAGCAGAGGTAAAATGTACAAATGACCGTAGAAAATATTTCATGATCAATCACAACAAAAGTGAAGAGCGTCGTCCGGGAATCGAACCCAAGTTGTCAGATTCACAGTCCAATGCTCTACCTATTGAGCTGACCGGATGGCTTTTACATGATTGGAACTAAAATTATTGACTTATATTAAAAAATGTTGACATGGTCTTTAACACAGGTTTGACTATAATTGTAACTTGAATATTATTATAGTTTCTCAATATTTTTCTGCACAAAAGGTAGAAATTGTACCAATAAATGTAAAACATTCATTAAGAAGTTTTCATAATAAAACAGGGCTTACATTAATTTACAACATGAGTATTTATTGAAAGAATTTCAAACTCAAGTGATTATAGCTAATCACACAAATCAAGAATAAAATGAGAAAAATACCTTAACAGCAAGGTCATTATATGATATTAAAAAAATTATCAAGGTTCCCACAAAAAATCAAAACAATATTTCATAACCATGTGAGGTTTCGAGCTGGGATATAATTAAATCAGCCATTTTAATCTTTTAGTCCAATGAACCATTACCATTTTTTTTTATTTTCAGTAATAATGAAAGTGAGTAAACATTGTGATTAAAAACATATTTTCATTTATCATTTATCACATTATATATCAATAAACGTAAATCCTTTCTAATGTTTTTTTTTCAAAATCAAAGACCATCAGGATCAATGAACTGTCTAAAGTTGATATTTTCTATATCCCACTGTAATAGTTTGATGCTATCTTTACAAATCATTAGCGAACTGATTACAAAAATATCAAAAACATTATATCCCACTCCAGGACTGTTTTTAAAGATTTCTCTTAGTTCCTACTTTTCAAATGATTTTGCTGAAATAATGATTGCTTTCAATTGCCACTTAAAGGGACTCAACTAACTTGGCTTATGGGACGGAACTAGAAATATTTTTTGAAGATAAATGTTCCAACTGAAGAAGGTCTAAACCAATAACTTCTATAAATGAATTTATCTGTAAAGCAGGACTCCCAACTATTGTCAGTACTTAAAAGTGAACTGACAGCAGGTCTACTCTTTGACATTTGATAATACTCCTATCACACCGACATGGTGTTCTTACAGTGACCTAAACCAGCATTAGTAGTCATACTAGGAACGCCAATGAAAATAGTATATTGTAGCTAGCTGTCGCAATGTACGGACATAATCCCCTTCAGACAAAATCCCCTTCGCATACCCGGACAAAATCCCCTCCATGGGTGGACATAATCCCCTTTGCATTTTGCTTTGTGTATATTTCCAGTATGTTTATGGTACTTGTACTTTGTTAACAGGGCATTATTGTGATGTTCCTATATTAAACTACTTGTGACCTAGGGCCTTCAGTGTGTTCTAAATGTGTGTATTACCACTTTATAGCACAGTTCTACAGTGACTTAGACAAGAACATCCATGAAATGCCGTAGTGGTATTAAGAACAACCTGGTTGCACTGCAAACACATTGGGGTCACCTGATAGAGACACCAAATACATGTTAAACAACATAATTATGTGTGTTTATATTGTGACTATGCTGCATCTGAGTGTCTATAGGGTTTCTGCCATAACCATTGGGTCATTAGGGCGTTCTAGTCAAGGACGATCTGAGAACAACAGTCTGTCCTCTGTGTTTATTTCTACACATTCAAATAATGTTGTTGTACAGTAGCCCTGCATCCTGAGACATTGATGGGGTCCTGCATGGTGACCTAAGTCATTCCCAACTTGACACTATGACCTCAATTGTGTTTCCAATGCATCATAGGTCACCGTGGGAATACAGTAAGGTTCCAAGTCAAGTGTGACAGTATTGAAGTATTGAGTATTATAGGTCAATATAAAGTGGTATCATTACACCAAAATTCATGACAAAGTTATGTGCTCATTTTTGTCTGTAAATTGGTATATTAAATGCCATATATAATTTCCAACCAATATCTCGAAGAAACCTCAGTAAAACTATGGTGGTACAAAATAATTTCATCCAAAAGTCTGGCATTATTTGGTGTAAATTTATAAATGGTTAATGTACTGCTGCAAACAAAAGCAGGTTTCTTCAAGACTTATAGATTAGATGAGCATTACTGGCTTTAAAGCAACGCCTTCAGTGAAGTGGAATAATAATATCTGTCATATGTTGCGGTTCGGACCGGAATATCCGTCCCGAGGGGACCCGCCCATGGGCGGGTTCCCGAGGGACGGATATTCCGGTCCGATCCGCAAACATATGTCAAGATATTTTTTCTTGCATATTCTGACATATAATTTCATATTTGAAATGTTTTACCTCAATATCATATATGTTCATGGAAATTGAAGTCATTTCATCCATAACTATTTTCTTACAATAGCGTATGAACTTACAACTTAAATAACAACGGCGAAATGACGTCATCCTAAGACATATTTCCCTTCTAAAACGACGTCATTTTAACGCGGTTCATTCATATAGTGCGCTAAAATGACGTTGTTGTTTGGCACGCAACTCATCTGGCACCCCCCACGCCAGATGAAATTTCCGGCATGGGTAAAACTCACGGAAACGCCAGTCTGCTATGCAAGAAAAATAAACTTTAAGGGTAAAACTGGAATAATTTTAGCGAATCCATGACAGAATTTACAAGTGAAGTTAGTTTCAGAAAAAAGTCACTGAAGGGCTCTCCAGGGTGCAAAAAGCTTCCTACATATATCTATCTCTATACACTTAAGCTAAAACACCCTCGAACCAAAGTGAGGAAGATAAAATCATAGGATTTTAGAGGGGCATAATATAATTTAGTTTTAAAAAAATGGGTGACTGTCGTAACCAGATGTTACCATGAAATATTCTACAATATTAACAAATTTAACTATCTGATTTACAACTAAATTCTTTCTTTTGTAAATTGAAATTTGTTTTTGCAAAGTTTTGAATGGTGAGAGAGACAACCAATGCTGTTGAGTGGTGTAAAGGTGTACCTATCTATAGATGTAAACTTTTTATAAAATGTAATTTTATACTTCAAAACTTAAATATTGTATTTCATTTAAAAAAACGGCAGGGTACTTGATTGATGGTATTTAATGGTATTTATTCTGTTTAGTTGTATATACATTTATTTCTGCTTTTTTTTCACCTTTGAAAACAAGAAAATTAAAAGAAAATGATTAAAAAGATTTTTTTTTTTTCTCAAGCTGCTGTGTTGGCCATGGATTTGCTTAAAGAAACTGTTGTCTATGGTTACAGAAAAAAATTAGAAAAGTCTGTCTGAATTTATTTGTACATTACATAAATCACAGATTAAGCAACTGTCATTTATAACAATGTCCCCACACCCCCTTTCCCACATACTCACACATTCTCCTTGACTTTCACTCTCAGATTTTCCTAGAAGAGTTCTAAAGCCTTGTGGTACAGAATGAGGAGTGACTGAGTCCAAGAGACTGAGATGGAAAATTCCTTAGTTAAAGCCTTGGCACTACAATTGACTTACTCCGGAATTAAGAATATTTTGGGTTTTTCCCAGCTAATTTGAGTGGGGGGTACAAACAACCTTTTGCAGTTACTGCTTCGAAAAGTAACACATTGTGACTGACGCTATAATAACTGTAAAAGTTTGTTTCTACTGGGGCATTAGCTTGGAGAAAACCAGTATTTGCAGAGTTTGAGGTAACATCCATTTGGACAATATCCCTAGCCATATTGGTGCTGAAAGAAAACCATCAAGTTGACCCGGCAGTGTAGGAACAGACATAAAGCTTGACTCGTTTCCCCTGCTGCAATGGTTATGTGCAGTACTGTAAATTAAGTATTTTTACTCCAGAATTGATCATGAAATGTATTTACTGTCTTATCTGTTTAGTCTCAAACCAAGCATATTTATATATATAATATATCACATACCTGCATAGAACTTGACTAGATATGCCAGATCTTCCATAGCACCGATCTCCTGAATTTTCCGTGGGTCTGTATATCCGATATTCTGTAAGTACTCATTCTGTATTGCTAACGGACTATCAAACGGATCCAGTCTACGAATTATATCTCCATTAAACTGTACATGTAACGAGTTCGGTGGCATTCCACACTGAATACACAATTTCTGAGCAGTCGTAGTCAACGTACACGGAAACATATGCGGGTTTCTATCCGTGTCTGATTTATACACATGAACAAATCCATTACTTGTGTCTCCTTGTATCCATTCTTGAACATCCACTTTAGTGTTACGATTTATTGGTGACTGAATATGAACACCATCATACTTATCCTCTTCTTTGTATAAATCCACGATAGAATCTGATAAATCCCACGTATCATCGTCATTTGCTTTACTAAATGAAATTGTGTGTGGGCTCGATATTTCCGGCTGTATAAAGTCACGAACACTCCACCAAGCATCAGTTCCTTGGTTCATACGTGACTTTGCTGTGCCGTGACTGATGTGAGAGCTACCGTGACTGTATGCACTATGTTGACCCACAGTCTCGCTGCTCGACCCCGCAGGCATCTCTATCTCCACGCTTGTCCTGAAAATATACAAAAATAACACAAATGATACCAAATACGTAATATATCTCGCATGTTGTCTGTCTCATTGTACTCTGACCTGAAATATTGTGCTATCTTATGTTACCCAGAGGAAGACCCAAATAAAAAAATATCTCAGAATCTGCTCAAGACATCAACTTATTTTTTTTCTGGTTACAATTGTTTATATCGTGAATTCAAGCACTTTTTATCTCAACTATCTCAACTAGTCTTCTAATGTATTATGCCAAACATATTCTTTTTTACCCTTTCAAATGTCAAATTAACCTTTGGCTGAAAGCGAAAGCTTTTTTCTCATGCCATTATATTCTTTGCACCTGGATCAAAACCACAAGCTTTAGAAAAAGATGCTATGGATTTTTATTTTGAATATTTTATGAAAATTCATTGAACCCGGAGAGTATTGGCAAACAGACTGTCAGACAGAAAGTCTTTTTGTATCCTATATAAAGAAATAATTGACAAATAATGCTTGCAAACCTCTTAATACATTGAATAATATTATCCTGTGCATTTTTTTCTCCACTTAAAAGGTTTATATTGACATATTAAAAATTTATGCATTTTTATACAATATAAATGGACAATGGTGAAGACAGGATTATAGTTTTGTCTACAAAATTATATTATCTTTTATTTCTGTTCAACTGAATAAACCTTCCAAGTGTTCAATGTAAAAAGTTCACTTGCTTGTTAACTGTTTATAAATATTGTACCGAAAAGTAATAATAACTCAAGTACAATTGTATATTTCCCTGTAATATCATTTAAATATGGTTGATATTGTAAAACTTAAATTAATGAAAAGAAATCATATCTTGCATTCATATAAGTTTGTCCTAATTAAAAACATTTTTTATAGGAATGGGAAAAAAAATTAGTGCTTCACCAAGTTCATTCACTATTGTCGGGACATAGTTACGTCTGATTTCAGTGACTGTATTTTCAACTCTAATTTCAAATGAAAGTGACGTCAACGTCACATCGCGGTAAAATGCTATTAGCCGTAAAAGTCTATAATATGTCTAACAATAATAAAAAAAATGCGTAATATCCAACATGGGATACTTAAATTTACTTATTAACACTAGCACTGGTTAGTACAGAAATTTAGCTCAAGAGACTCACTGGCTCAAAACTAAATTCATCGCAACTTAGCTTGAACAAATAAGTTATATATATAATTAATAACTAAACCTTTGATTAGTCATGGAAATTATTTACATTTTTGCCGGCTCGCCACGGCGAGCCGGTATTACGGTAGGATTTTACTGAGAAACAACCTAAAACTCCGAAGCTATCCAAAAATTTAATCGAAGCTTGGCTTCCAGCTTTCTACAAAATTTATCTATCAGGGCTAGGATCCAAAATTATTTAGCCAATCAAATTTAATCTTACATAGCGTCAAAAAACCTTCAATTTTCACGCCATTTTTAAAAATCAGCAAGTATTGTTTTGAGCGCAAAGATATAATGATGATTAAAATGTTTGTCTTTATGAATTCTTTTCAATAAATCATATTTACACTGACTTCTGATTTAGCGATTTCACCTGTTTTCTCTGTAGTAAGTTTTCGTTTGGTTAATTAACATAAGTGTACATCTGGTTCTGTGCATTTTTTATTTTTCCTTTTTTCCGGTCATTTTATCCTTTCCGGTATTTAGTGTATGTATTTACTGGCCGGGATCCGGAACGCCCGGGATCCGGGATCGTATAAGATATGGAGGAAAAACCTAATGAACTATATTTGTGTTGATTGTTGTCGTAATGAAAGGCCATAAAACGTTAATTTTTTTTATTGTATATAATGAATGTTAAATTAATTTAACTTAGAATATAGATATATTTAGAGCTATTTATTAACAAACTTAAAATGCGGAAATCACAATACTTATAATTATATGCCTAATTAAATGGAAAAATCAAAGACTATTTTCTTGAATTGGTCAAATCCCGGGATCCCTGTATGTTTTAAAACGATCCCAGCTTTTCTGAAAACTATATACTTGAACTGGCCAATCCGTGAGATCTATTTACATTTTAATACGATCCCGGCTTTTCTGAAAACTATATTCTCTAACTGGTCAATTCCCGGGATCCCTATATGTTTTTTAAAATAGGATCCCGGCTTATCTGAAAAACATCTTCTTAGCCTGGTCAATTTCTGGGATCCCTATATTTTTTAATAGGATCCCGGCTTTTCTGGCTGAATTGATTGACAACTTGTGTTTACTTTAGGACTTGTGCCTCTCATTCCAATACTAAATAACATACATGTATTACAACTTAATTTTGTATAAAGAGACATCTTTATGAAATCTACCTATCTAACATTTTGTGGTCAAGGTCAACAGGCCATATAGTAAATGTGCATAGACATAGGTTCTTCATTCAATCTGTTTACATGCACCTTCATATATACTCATACTCATCTTGGTTAAACTGAGAGAACTTTATGTGTCACTTTCAGTCAATGAGTTTAAGATTTTGAATTTACTGGCCCGAATTCCAGTTTTGAATTTATTCTACTAAATAATTAACAAAATTTTCTTAAACTTACACTGGCCTGAACTTATATACACTGGCCATCGGGCACCGGGCCAGTGTTGACTTCACTTTTATTTTGATGTTCGCTGAAGTCTCTTCAGCTAACAGAACTGTCATTTTTACATTTAAACACACCCCTTGAAAAAAATTACGAAGCGAGTCGCTACTAGCTTTTTTAAAAGCTAACCTTGTATTATGTTACAGTAAGAACTAGTTACATTGTAGCTATGAATTGATCAAACAGTCAAGTAGCTTAACAGGTAATTATCCTGCCATATTACAATATTAAATGAATAAATCATTGTACTTCAATGTAATATAAACAACTTACTCCTTGAAACTAGGAAGCATGGACATTTTGAAGACCATGTTACTTCTACGGGGAACAACTAACCCCTCCCTGTCATAGGGTACTCCTGTTTCCATAGTAACAGAAGAATCTTTCATGTTTTATATGTATATATCCCTATCTAAAACCATCCATATACACTTTAACTACCACATATGAATGAACACCATTCTTAGGCAAAATTTGTTCCTTTGTCAATTGCATAACACTTCCGTGAGGAATTAATTAATCAAATTTTGTGAATAAATCACCTGTCCATTTGTTCAGGAATAGTATAACTGTTAATATTATTCACAAAATAAAATTTCATTGTCGGCTGTCAAGATCGTTTGCATACCTACATTTGATGTAATGATCACAGAAATATCTCTCATATTTTAGATGTTTACTATTATAATTATAGCAAACATAAAATTGAACCGAGACGGCAGCCCACATCCAGAAACTAACTAAGTCAACAAATTAAACAACCTGTGGTCAGGAGAACTTAAGGCTGCCCACACAGAAAAATGAAAACTTGAATCATCAAACTTGAAAACCACACTTTATGAGTAACCATGACTGACAAAAGTCTTAAAAACACATCAATTAATTTACTTTCACTTCCAGTTTATAAATTAAACCACTATTTACAGTTTTACATTTTGATCTGCTGTTAAATTTTTGTAATTTTTAGATAAATGAAACCAGTCCACCGCAAATAAGTACCAGTCTGTTTATAGACATAACACTTTAATATAACACTATATCATCATATTTCACAATGAACTTATTGTTAAACTGTTAAAAATCCACACAATAAAAAGAACTATTTTTCCAACATCCGAACTCATTAATACCCCACATATAACACTTTTCAGTTATCACTTCAATCTAGACAAAACTGTCACAAATTTTCATTACTTCAATATTTCACAAAAAATATTTTAATACCAAAATATTTTTTCCCCCTATTTTAAGAATGTAAACAAGTAATTCACCCATATAAACATTAGTAAATTTGAAGAGTCAGTGACGTGTGTCAAAGAGCGATGGATACCCAAAAAGTAACCGAGGGGTATAATATTTGTGTAAAAAATAAATTAGAAAAGTAGCAAAATTAACAAAAATCCATCAATCAAATATTTACCAAGGGTGCTAAGATTCGTTGTTTGACTCGTAGATTAAAAATATTTTCATTAGATTACGATGTTTTTTAAAGTCACGATCATTTTTCTTCAAGGCAATGAGCAAATTGTCATTTGAGGGTACAAAATGTAAATCATTGTGTATTAAAGTTGTTTCATCAAAATTTTTCAACTTCTTAAATAGATTTCTCAACTTCAATTAAATGTTTTGATTGTACAAATTGAATTCTAGACCTAACACACTTAAATAACTTTTTAGGAGTTGTCAATAAGAAAATTAAACTAATAACATTAAAAAATTCCTAATAAAATTTAACGAGATGAATCAAACAAGAAATGACCTTATTTGAAATGATTATCTTGTATATTGGAATGTCAGGTGAATAAAAGGATTTAAGTTAAATTTAACAATTTAAATTGAAGGTAAAAATTCTTACTGTATATGACACCTATGACAGGAAATTTGTAGACTTTTCTGAATCTTGGGTGTTCTTTAATGAGCTATTAACATGTTTTTATAACTTTTATTTAAAATTATAAACAAATGCAGACAATTCTATAATTATACAGGTATTTAACTCGCATAGCTCTTAGAAAGCAGAATTAACATTATCTTGTATGCTATTAGATGCATTCAATTTAGTTTAAAATGTCTAAAAAATATTGATGAGCAATTAAGGATTTAAAATGTTCGCATTTTAACAAATCTTTCCATATTTATCACAAACAAAGTGACTTTAATGAATCTACACATATTATGTAAACATTGCACAACCTTTACCCTAACAAAAACTCTAACGACCAGAAAACAGAAACTACCAAACCTATTGCTTTAAAATAGTGTCCTAGTTGCTACCGCTGACAATAACCTACTACATTGTAACACAATTGTGTTCTTGTAAATGGTAGAGCCATCACAATTCCATATTACTCCAGAAATGACATTCTCAAAATTAAATTCCCATCTAACACATTGATGACAAAAAAAAACTGTCATGATAAAACAGATAATAAACTATAAAAAAGTGAAGTCCATCAATCATGTTACAAATTAAAACTGTAAAATCCAAGTTAGTCTGTAAATCTATATAAACTAGAGTTCACAAATTAGTTTAACAGGTAATATTTTTACAGTTATATCCCCTCTAATCACTATGGTCTTTTATATGTTACACTGGTCAAATCATTATAACTATATCCTTTTTCTATTTCAGTCCAATAAATTAACATGACTAACAAATGACCTCGGATCCCCTCTGAGCCCCTACTGTGACAAGCTATACAAAATAATTTGTACCTAGGTCAATAGTGGTAGTTATTTGAAATAGTGGCAAATTTTTCATTGAATTTCTTTGGATTCCCCAAGGTTAAATGGGCGCAGTTGCAGTTTGAACTAAAGTGCACTTAGCAATGGACTTTAATAATATATAATTAAACAGATGAAGTTTTTCAGTTTCTGCACTTTTTTTAAAGTTTTTATGTTTTTAACTATAGCCTATCACTTTATATAACTTTCTTGTTTCATATTTATACAATATCAGAAATTTACAGACTGTTAACATTTTTTTTTCTCATTTGTAGAAATAGAATGTTAGAATAAATATTTGAGCACACACATTGTGAAGCAGCTGTCACTGATTTGGTCTATTAAATCAATTATATACATCTATAATACACATTATATATAAATGCAGAAATCATAAACTTTACTTGCATGTATCACCAATCAATCATTATATACATGTCTGGAGAAATCAGCAACATAAACAACATCAACAACAACATCAAACTTGCAAGGAAAATAGATTTTGAAATGGTTTCAATTGAACATAAAAAAATTGCAATGCAACACTGTAGCCATTATATACTATTTTGCCAACCATATAAAACTGTAAATTGATCAAATTTACTTTCTCTAAACATAGCTTAACATATTCAAAGCATTCCACAAGAGAATTTAAATTTTGCAGCAACAAAACCAAATGAACTTTTAAGATATGGCTTACAATTACAACATTATTGTGTCCATCTGTAGCAAACAATGCCGTAAATCTATTTTATTTTATATATATATTGAAGCTCATTTCTTGCAATTAAATTCCACACATATTTATAAACATCATTTTCACATTACAGCACTTAATGTCCACAGTTATCCATTTTGTTTCTATTGAAATCTTTTCTTCTCATTTTCGTTTCATGAAAAATTCCTTTCCTATAGTAAATGACGCCATTTTGAGAATAATGGAAAATATTGAAAAATCCATTGACCACATATTTAGACATCAAATACCATAAGGTCACCACAAATTTACACTTCAGGTTTCTGTTTGATAACAGATTACATATAATCCTACTCTAAACAAGGCAGTAAGCCTACATAATTCCTTTATAATAACTACCACCTCTCATTTTTAAAATTATTCAATTTTATTCATTTTATAAATTTATCTACACCAAGTGTCTAATTTCAATTTTAAATTTCTATTACAAAGCAAGCAGTCTATGGAATAACACACATTATTATAAAATCAATCCTTTAATATGTAGGTAAATTGATTACCAATGCTTGAACCATAATTTTGTATCTGTCATATAACACATTTACCTTTTATTCTAAATACTGTTTTTGTATTTGCTTAGAAAGATTGTTCAATAATATGAAAAGACATAAAATATTATAGCATGAAAGGCCATTGTTTAGTAAGGACATTATTTTTACATTTTGAATAAAAATAATGTCTACATCCTTAACATATATGAATATTAAGGTTTGTTTGTGTGCTTTTTTGTTTGTTTTGTTCAATTTTAAGTCACATCAACAGTTTTAAGCTTTACTGGTGAAGGAGCCCCTCTGGTATCCTATTGTGCATTATTTTAGCAGAACCACTGTTCTCCAGTATACTAGCTGGATCATAAGTTTCCTCACAGGAAAGATTTCAAGGTACCTCCGGGCTAAAAAAAGAATTCAAACCCACAGCAGTGACGGGGAAGTTCAGTTGTTTGAAGTTTGCAACCAAAACCACTTGGCCATTGTAACAGAGAACCCAAATATCAAGGTAAGAATTATAGAAGACTGTTCACAAACATCTAACATACAGACAAAGAAATTTTTTATCATAGTTCCTTCAAAGGCATCTATTACCTATTTATCATTATTCATGTTGTAAATTGGAAATTTGCATGAGTGTGCTTAGTTCTGATAAGTTTTATCTGCTGAATACATTATGCACCACAACAACACACTTGTGAAAATTTTATTTTATGTAATGTATCCTGCAAATTGAATAAGCAAAAATTGAAACAAAAGTTAAGAGAATAATTTTTCTTTACAAAATATAAAATATAATGTCACTAAATGTTTATGACAACTTTAGCATAATATGTATAATAAGGTGTAAATAACATATGATTGATCCTGATTAATGTATTTCTTCACTTGAAAACTTAAACAATTCTGCAGGTGTTTCAAAATTAAAAATTTTACCAGTTCATGTTAAATGTTGAATTCTGCTTAAGCCAGTGCTATGCCCCCGGGCTTGCAATTACCACTACAGTCTATGAATAAACTCAGTCAAACAGAGCCTGAAACATTTTTAATGCTGCTGTGTTGTGCTTTCTTTAATGAATTCTGTTTTTTGCTATTTATAGGTATAATAAAATGAAATCATTTCAACAATCTGAGGCATATATTTTTGAGATATATTTAGTGCAAGCTGTCCTACAAAATATGTATATTAAAGCAGAAGAAAAAAACAAAAAAAACATAAAGTAAAAATCAAAACAATTTTTATCATGTACTTACAGCCTTTTTTAAAACCAAAAACATTCACAAATATAATCATTTCAGCTCGGACATCAACAAAAGTTCTTTTAGAGGTGACAACTTATATTTGCATAAAGAAATATTAATAAAACATGCTCAATTTTGATATTACATTCATCAGGATAATTCCAACCTGGGAGATTATCACTATTTGTCATTCTATATCTCTGGCGTATGGCAAAAGTTACACATCATAATTATAGTGATATGGTACAAGATACGAGTAGGTTGCTATGGATCTTGTTTAGGGTAAAAGGAATTTTCTTCAATATCATCTAATAAAGCTACAGAAAGGAATTTCAAACTTTCAGGCATCTTTTAACACAAGTGTAACTTTCATTGACTAAGAGAATGCAATGTGAGATATGGCCTACAAAGTTGGCCAAATCAAGGCTCCTCAAGTTTCTGAGCTTAAACTGACAAGGATTTTTAACTAACTGTCACAGTTACCTTGACATTTCACTTACTGACCTCAAAGTCAATAGGGGTAATTTATTGATTTACTGGCCATAAGCAATGTCCCTTCTAAGTTGCACAAACCTAGACTTATTTCTTCTCAAATTATCAAGCAGACAGGAATTTTCTACAAACTTTAACCCTGACCTTTGATCTTAAAATTAAAAGGGATCTTCTACTGGCCATGTGCAAATTGTTCTTACCATATTTCATAAACCTTGACATGTTCCATCTTAGCTTTAAGAGCAGAAGATGAGTCTACACTAAGTGTCACTATGACCTTGTCACCATTGACCTACTGATCTCAAAATGATAAGTGGTCAACTACTGGCCATGACCTTCCTCCCAACTACGGTATGTATGAATACTGTATACACCTACTTTTTCTCAAGTGATTAAGCAGATATCGATTTGGCTAAAAGACAGACAGACAGACAGACAGACAGTCAGACAGATGAACAAATGCCAATTACCATAACACAACCAAAGTAACCTTAGGTCATAATTTTAAAAAAAGAATATGACAAACTTCTTTTATCCAGTATACAGACTTTAAAAATCTCTGTTAAATCTAGATCAAA